TGAGGATCGAACCCAGTGCCCCATGCATGCCAGGCAAGCGTGTTACCGCTTGAGCCACATCCCCCGGCCCAAAATGCTGATAGTTTTGACGTCCCAACTGGGGAGTGGTGTTTTTTGTTAAATGTTGAAGGGCTAAAGAACATGAAGTGAAGGAAATGTATTTTCTTTTTCGCCTCCAAATTTAAAAATATACATTTTTTTGGAACGACTTAAAATTGTAAGTAAATAAAATGGTATCCTGAGGTTAAAAAAAAAATGTTGAAGGGAAGATAGAAGTTTAAGTATTTAAAAATTAGAGTAGCAAATAGAATTGAGTGTATGAAAGTTCTTCCATTCTCATTTTGTGGGGCAAACTGTTATTGCCTAAAACTGATAAATCAAGAAATAAACATAATCTAGAGTTAAAAAGAATTAAGCCCAGAATAAAAAATGAGATTCACCTAGAGAGTAGAGCTTCAGATAATGAGTTTGGAATCTGTTGCTTTCCACCAAAACTTCTTTATTTTTTATTTCTTATAATTGATGTTTATTACTTTACCAGATATTAAATACTGAGTCTGAAGATGGGTTTCATATGAGAGATTACCAACAGTAATGCCATCTTCTAATTTTTCAGGTCATAATTTAGATGAACTAAGGTGCTGTGTTTCAGATTATGCAATAATAGTGTCCTTGTTCTAATGAAGTGTGATATTTCACATTTCCTGGGACAAAGTTGCATAGCTAGAGGCAGAATCTTTAATCCTTGAGGAAATGAATTACTGCCAAAGACAATAAAGCAAAGTCCTTTGACTTTTTAAAAGTGCCCCAGTGTTTAGAACTAATGATTGAAGTAGGTGGGCAAAAATAATTCAGCTCTCCTTGGGAGAGGATTTGAATATATGAACAGAAGGCTGGCTTACTTGAGGATTTTGAAATAACACTGTTAATAGCATGGTGTGATGGGTCCTGAACCTTTGTGCCAAGACTTCTAATCGAGATCCCAAATACTTGAATTCATATCATACCTATCACTTACTGTCATATGGGTATAGTTAGACTTTGGTGCATTTTATTTTCTAGATTTATTTCTTACCTTTAAAGATGACATTGTGTTTTTGCAAATTCTGAGTCTTTTTCTTTTATGTGGATTTCCTATATGTTGAAATCCCTAGGCACTTTTTATTTCAGCACAGCTTTAGTAGGGGCAATGGTCCCTTAGCTGTATTGAAAGCAACCTGGAAAGTGATCTTTCCTATTCCTTTTGGTGTCTGAAATGATCTTCGTTCAAACCCAGATGTTAGCCCTTCATTTTTATAAATTTTATTTTGTGACCTGGTATGGGAATGGACTTGTTGGTTGCTATTTTGTTAACTTCCACCACTTCCCTACAAAGGTGTGACTCACATCCCTTGGGCCTGTTGCTCTGAATGTAGAGCTGGTACTAGCTCTGACTTCCTCCCTCCGCTCTGGAAGGGTCAGTAATGAGTGTGGCTGCCTAAGAGAATGTTCTGAACAGGATGGTCCCAGGAGAGTTGCCGGGCATCCTGGTGGTACCCAGAGAGCACCTGGTTCTCACAGTGAACTACCTGGGCAGCCTGGGGCCCAGCACTTGGCATCAAAGGGTACTGGATGGAGAGGGAAGAAAGCTGGGATTTGAGCTGATATGGCATTTTGGCATGGGCTGAGAGTCCCTTTCTGGTGGGCTGTCCCTTCTGTACCTGCACTCTGCTGGCTCAGGAGGTAAGCTATGCTGAACAGCTTAGACCAGCACCCAGGTCCTAAATGACTTAGATTAGCAAGTGAGTAGTTTGTTCCCTGGTGTCATTGTTTAGACACAGCTCTATTTTTTGCTTATTTTCTTGTTCCTGCCAAATATAGCTTTAGCTAATGGACAGTGACCTCCTGCATTTAAGGCTGGTTCAAAGCACAATTAAGAGCCCTTGTTTATTTTCTGAGCCAGAAAGGGCAGCTTTGGGGATTAAGGCCCTACCACTTGCTGAGCGTGGTTGGGGTTACCATGTTCTTCCATCATGTTGTGGCCTCGCTTTCCTATGACTCAGATTCTACCTGGTCAGTGCAGTGGTCCCTTGGCAAGGGTTGCATCAGAGCAGGGTGCCCTCTGCCGTCCACATCCACTCTTCCTCCTACGACCACCAGGGGATTTGCCAAAGGCGGTGAAGCACCTGTCCTCCTGCACCCCGGGTAGACTGCATGAAGGTGGGATGAGGATGTGTCTGGACTTTGACAGCTAACATCATTCCCCATAGATACATTGCCCTATTTTGTAGAGTTGTCTTTTTGAATTTGTTGTCTCTATCCCCCAAACCGCCCTGATGCTTCCTTCTGTATCCTGTACTTTCATCTGCAGGAGCCTCCACATGTAAAATGGGAGGACCTGTCTGCAAGAGCTTGGCACTGGTACATGGGAACTCTTCTCACTACAGCCCCTGAATCCAGCCTGTGCATTCGAGTTAGATGCCTGTGCTGCTCCATACATACATGTTGGCCTTCAGGGTAGAGGGAACATGTTGAGGGTTAGAGGTACCAAGGAGAAAAGGGCCAGAGGAAGCCCTGAAGGACTCTCCCTTGAAGCAGCTTTTGAACCTCCACAGCTTTTGAAATTGCGGGAAGCCTTGGATCCCTTGTTCCTCGCAGGGCACCAGAAGGAGAGATAGTGGAAGCCTGGGGCTCTGCTGTTCACCCTCTGACCCTTCTCCCCTGGGCCAGAGTTCTGCCCACCAGGCTGCCCATCCCCACCCCAGGCTTGTCATGCCACTGTGTCCCACTTCTCTGTTTCTTCTAGTGCTTTCCCCTACATCCTTTGCTGTGCTGTGCTCCTCACCTGGCCACCTGCAGCTCTGCTGTCATCTCTTGGTGACACTCTTCCTCCCAGGCAGGTGTTAGTGGGGCAGCACTCTGTTATGTCCTCTACCTCCCTGTGGTTTAGTGTCCTATATATGGATTCAGGGTCTTCAGACCAAGAGTTTGAAGGGTGGATGCCATTCCTTATTCAACTTGAGGGCTCTTGGTGAGTGTTTGTTGAATGAGTAAGTGAATGAATGAGCAAATGGGGTGAATGGAAATAACCAGCCTCCTGCCTGCCTTGGGTAGCTTAGGAGCCTCCTTGGGTGTGGGAAAGAAGAGGAAGTTGCTAGAAGACACAGTAAAAACATTGGGCCTCCTGGGCTGCTTTTTTATAGCGTCCTTCTGGCAGTTGGTTACCTTTACCCCTGTAGTTGCAGTAATGCTGATTCTTCCTTCCCTCAACTTGTCAGGGTTTAGTTTTAAATCTGTCAATATACGGAAGAGTTCTTGTTTCAGGGTTTCATTGGTATGAATTGTGCCCTCTCAACTGGTTGTGAACTCCTTAAAATCCTGAGATTTGTTTCCTAGCTAGGAAGCATTCTAAAGGAATGGAGACATTGCCCCAGGTAATTTTGTCCACGTCTGCCAAGTAGCTGTGAGATCATATGGGCAGAGTGATGAACCTCCCACCAGACCTCGGTTTCTCCCTCTGTAAAATCAGGGCTTGCAGAGTCAATGTGCCATCCCCTTGCTTACCCCGTTCTGATCTGGCACAGGTTCCATCCCCACAAGTGCCATTGACCAAACTTGCAGGGTCAGGAGCAACATGAGTGGGATAGATGTGGGGTGGACCTCAGCAGACCTTGGCAGCCCATCCTTGTTTCTGCCTTCTAGTGAGAAGTTTTTAGCACCAAAGGCACTGACTGGTCTCTTAAGTTTCTGCTTCATTTCTGTACCTTGATGTGTATTCTTTCATTCTTTCAAAAAGGGATGGCTTAGAGGTGGAGGCTGGGATGTGGGAGGAAGGGCAACCCTGGGTCTCCTCACTGAGCCTCCTTAGGCAGGATGCACCCCGACCGGCAGCCGGGTTTCCAAGTGTACTTGCCTCCTGCTGCACCAGCTGCATTGTATCAGTTTAAAGAAAAACAAAAACAAACAAAAAAAAATCAAGTCCTTTATTGGGTTTGGATTGTGTTTTGTTTTCCTTTTGCACCTGAGTTTGTGGGCCTCTTGAAGGCCAGGAGTGGCTTGCTTTCTGTTCTGAGAGTTTGTTGTTTGTACATTTCTGTTCCCAGCTCTTTCCCAGATCCAGCCTTATTTACAGAACTTTCAGTCCTTGGTTTTTCTTCCTATTTATTCTCCTAGTTGTTCCATTAGTCTGGCAGACCCCAAAGATTATAAACCAATGGTGAGTGAAGAACCTTCTGGCTGTGAAATAGTAAAGTTTTAAGGATTGTGGGTTTCAATTGAGGGCCCTCTTAATAGGAACACAGATGAGCAGGAGAAGGAATATCTCTCCTCCTGGCACTCCCCAATTCATCCCTAATCCTTTGTGGGAGAACTGATGGTGGTGGAGGAGCTCCTATGGGAAGACGAGAGTGCAATAAGTTACTTAGGAGGACAAAACATCAAGTTTGCACCTTAAATAAATGCAGTTTCTATTTGTTAATCACACCCCAGGAGAGCTGGGGAAGGGAAAAAAAATTGAAAGAGGCCGAGGCTGCAAAAGAGTAATTTAATTGAGTTGTATCTTATGCAAAGTCAATAGATAAACTAAAGGTCTAGAGTCTAGTCACAGTCTAGTACTTTACTGTTGAAAAGTACTTCAGGAAGACGCAGGGTCAGGATTGACATGTCATTGCTTATTAAATGGGTTGCTGGTGTGGGTTGTTCTGTCGAGTTGCCTATGCCATCCTTGGCTCAGGTGCAGAGGTCATATTCTTGAAAAGTATCCTAAACACCAGAATCATACCTGGCAGGAGTTGCTGACACTGTGACAGACAGTCTTATTTCCCCTTTGTTTTGAGACCCCTCTTCCTTTGCCTTACTGTGTCATGTGTATTTGTGCTGTGTGAACCAGGACTGAGAATTCTCTCTGGCTGAGAATTCACGGAGCCCCTGACAAAGAATAATCCCAATAGCTCTGCCTTCTGACATGTTGAATTATTAAATGTGTATTCAATTGAGGTCCTCAAATTCTGTTTCATCACCAGGTTGCTGGTGGGAGCACCTCGGGCAGAAGCCCTCCCGCTGCAGAGGGCCAACAGGACTGGAGGCCTGTACAGCTGTGACATCACCTCCCGAGGACCTTGCACGCGGATTGAATTTGATAACGATGGTGGGTTCGTCTGCCCTCACTTGGTATTCATTTGGCCACCCCAGCCTGCACCCTACTTGCTCTTTTCATGAGGAAGGAAAGGAGAGGATGCAAGCATTTATTCTTGCAGAGAGGACCTCTGGTCCTGACTTTTTTATTTGCCCTGAAAATATTTACTTTCTGGCTCACACTGGGATGAGGCATTTTTGCTGTGTCCTCTAATCCTGGTTCCTTAACTCTTACCATGTATTGCCATTGCCACCTAGTGCTATATTGAAGTTCTGCAGGAGGCTGTTGGAACGCTAAATTTATAACAGTGAAGAAAATTCATTGTGTATGTCTTGTACCCAAACAGCCAAAAGTTATCACTTGTTGTTGAAAATATTTGGGAGAAAGACTTTTAAATTTTTTATTTTTTTATGGTGCTGGAAACCTAACCCAGGGCCTCACATATACCAGGTAAGCATTCTGCCAGTAAGCTACATCCTCAGCCCTGAAAAAGATTATTTTAAATATCAGACCACTCTCAGGGCTGACTAACATGGATAAAATATGTCCTACACTCTCATAGACTTGTTTTTGAGGATTCTGGGTGTCTAGAAGCTGCCATCATGTAGACCATGTTAACATTTAATTTAACTGGTTGAGCAGAGCCATTAATGTACTGAGATGCTCCTGCCAAACCTAATTTAATGTGCTCATTCTAAATGAATATATAGATTCATGCTTATGTTCTCTTCTTTATCTTATAGGAATAGCATTTGGTGTTTTCTTTTACTGATTAAAAAATAGATCCTAATAATAGAAAAACTTGTAAAATACATAGACATATAAAGCAAAAAATCAAGATATACTGGTAACCTCAGTATTTAGTATACTCTTTAATATTTTGGCACTTTTCTTTCTGTCTATGTAAAGGTGTCTAGTTTTTATACTTTTTGTAATGATGTAGGATTAAAGGTTGTGCCTGTCTTGCTTCTCATTGAAAGAGGCAGAAATCTGGATATAGGGTCATAACATGTGGGTTTGAGTTGATGCTGAAATGACCACATGGTGGTATTTGTGCTTTTTCTTTTTTCTGGCTAAAAAAGTACCTCTCTCTCTTCTTGGTACTGGTGAAAGATTTCACTTGTCAAATGTGAGTGAATCTGGTGCCTTATCTTTGTCTCTAGTAAAGAAAAGGATAATTCATGCTATTTTGTAAAAATGAGGAGTACATAGAGAAGCACCAACTTTTTGTTAGTTTGAATGGAACAGGACTTTGGAGTCTGGAGTTTACATTATTGCTTTTAGGGCTACTCCTTAGCCATGCAATTTTCAAAACCTTGCTATATGCAGGGCCTTGGGTTTCAAGGGAGGGCAAAGGGAATTGTTGGGTAACATGGGCCATCATATAGAGAGATGTCTTTTATGTATAAAATTTTTATTTTTATTATTATTTTTTTTGCAGTGTGGGGGATCAAAGTACAAGCCTATGCATTACCAGGCTTGTACTTTGCCACTGAGCTATGCCCCTATCTATAGAAGCTTATGATACATTCTTACCAATAACAATTTCTCTGTTTTCTTGAGATGAAAAATCATTTTTCTGTATTGACTAAATTTAATGAGTAGCTAGACTTGGAGTTAAGGCAATTTGGAAACGGTTTCTTGTATTTTTGTTCATCTGTTATTTTATAATCTGAGTCTATATAACCTGTCTTGCTTCCCACAGCTGACCCTACCTCAGAAAGCAAGGAAGATCAATGGATGGGGGTCACTGTCCAGAGTCAAGGTCCAGGGGGCAAAGTGGTGGTAAGTGCCAAGAAATAGTTAATTCCAGTGTTGTAATGCCTGCTATGTGATAGCGCTGGGCTTACAGCAGTGGAAAACACAGGCAGAGCCCCTACCTCTGGAGATGCACATTATAGCAAACTTCCTACATTATAGCAGGAAGTGATTTCAAGAAGAAACCAACCATCATTTTCCCTGTGCTTCCTGATGCGCTTTGATCAAAGTCATACAAACTTTCAGATTCAAAGAACTTATCAATGAACCTTTACTAAGTATTCCTAAAACTCTAGATGGTCATAAACAAAAAGCAAAACAAAACTAGACGTGGTTTCTGTCGTAGGAATATTCTAGTTTTTATAGATAAGTTATAAAAAATGTGGGAATGATCTTGAAAAGTAATATTAGGTAATTTTAAACTCTTGTTTATTCTGAATGTGTTATTCAGTTTTTTGTTGCTGTGACCAAAATATTTGACAAGAACAAGGAGGAAGTTCCTTAGAGGAGGAAGTTTATTTTGGCTCATGATTTCAGAGGTTCAGTCCATAATTGGCTGACTCCATTGCTTTGGGTCCCAGATGAGGCAGAACATCATGAGAGAAGTATGTGGCAGAAAGAAGCTGCTCAGCTCATGGTGGTGGGAAGCTGAGAGAGAAGTGGAGGAGCCATGGACAAAATATATAACCCCCAAGGAATGCCCCCAGTGACCCACATCCTCTAGTTACATTCCATGTGCCTATAGTAACCACCAAGCAATTCGTTCAAATCATTAATCCGTGAAATGGAGTGATCCATTAATTAGATGCAGCTCTCATAATCTAGTCATTTCATCTCCTGCATTAATATAGGAGCTTTTGGAGGACATCTTATTTCCCAGCCATTAACATTGAACTTCTTCCAATAGAAGTTGTAGCAAAGAAAAGAGAGTCTGTTAGATGGATTATGCTAGGTGGCCTTGGAACTGCTTCCACGTTAGGATATGAAGATCTTTTTGTCTTACTTTCAAAATCTGATTGCTATAGCAAAATTTATACAGAAAATGAGAAAAATTAACATTTTAATGAACACTGAATTTTTATAGTTAAGGCGTGAATTATGGGAAATTGTCTTGGGTATTGTAAAATATTTTTCAGATACCCAGATTATGTTATGTAGAATACCCTGTAGAGATTATAGAGATTATTTCATCTCTTCTGGTAAGATAATTCTCTCTGCCTTTTTAAAATAGTCATACTCCCAGAAATAATCTCAGAATGCAGAGTGTAAATTAGGACTTATTAGAAGGAAATAGTGTAGGTAAAAAGAAAATATCTTTGTTTTAGCTGTGTTTGCTTGATTCTTTTGAAAACAAGTCCATGATTTCTTTCTTCCAGAATGTAATTATTTTCACACTGATGTAGAAGTTTCTTAGTCACTAAAAGCCAATTAAGTTAAGAAAATGAAGCAGGAAAGTGTTTCTCTTTGTTTATGTGACAAGTAAATTTACAGACAAATTGCCTGTGGATACTCTGGCATTCAATATTTGGATTGAAGCATTATTCTGAGTGAGAATAAGCAGAAATCCTCCTCCTTCTATTTTTGTTAATAGACTCTTTAGTACCATTTTGGGGAAGATTTGCTGATTTGGAATTTGATCCTAGGAAGAGGACATGTTTAATCATCCTATTTAGAATTGACCTCTTTATTATTGACAGTTTTTTCAACTTTTTTTTTTTCTAAAACAAGGTCTATAGACATGAATGAGCTACTTTATTCCATGTGTTTGCAGACATGTGCTCATCGATATGAAAAAAGGCAACATGTTAACACAAAGCAGGAGTCTCGAGACATCTTTGGGAGGTGTTATGTCCTGAGTCAGAATCTTAAAATTGAAGATGATATGGATGGAGGAGACTGGAGTTTTTGTGATGGTCGATTAAGAGGCCATGAAAAGTTTGGTTCTTGCCAGCAAGGTGTAGCAGCTACTTTTACTAAAGACTTTCATTACATTGTGTTTGGAGCCCCGGGTACTTATAACTGGAAAGGTATGGTGTTTATATTTACAGAAACGGATATTAGAATGTCTGTATAATTCCTATAATGTGCATCACATTTAGTATATTTCAAGTTAAAATGTGTTATAAGGCATTTATGTATTATAAAAAAGGATTAGGATGTTGAAATGTCTAATATGATTAAGAACGAATAAAGAAAATGTCTACATTTTTCCCTCTTCTAGTTAGTATGCTACATTAGTGTGAGTAGTTAACGTTTTTCTAATGTAATAGAGTAATTAACATAAGTCACTTTTATTATTTTATATTTGTCTATTTCATGAAACTAGTTTTCATTTTAAGTGATCTGAAAACTGAAAAGAATCAAGTGGTGGATACCAATAACAGTTGGAAAATAGGAACATTTCTTTCATTATACATTGTCTCAGATGACCTTGTTTTACTAATAAAAATTGTTAGTTGTTTAATGATATTGTTTATTATAAGGAGTAAAAGGAGACACTGGTAGGAAAAGATGAAAATACCCACATTTTCTGAGTGGATACACCTGGTCACTTCCTGTGATAAAGTTTAACTTCTCTGAACAAATTAAGCCACTATAGAAAATTGCTATATATATTTTTTTAAAAAGCACGATGCATCTGATTCGGACATTAAACTTTTTTTTGAGAAATTTATTTAAAATTGTGTAACATTTTTACAGTTAAGAAAGGCATAGAAAAATTTTCCCTTTTCCATTAAAAAATTTTTCCAAGTTTTATTTACAATCGCAAGTGATGCTTGAGCACATGTCCTCTGTGTGTCTGTCATTGTAACCTTGGAGAGTAATTTCCTGTGCCCACTGTGCCCCCAAAAAGAGTCTTTCATGAGACAAATCATCAGGTTGCTTTGACCTAATTGAAATGACACGTTGGATTTAGAAATAGCTTTATTTTAGCAAGAAGAGATGGGAACGTTTCTCCAACGTAAAGCACTTGCCTACTATGTATGAAGCCCTGGGTTCAATCCCTAGGACCATCGAACAAACAAAACAGTGAAAACACCTGCCAACTATGTATTTTAACTCATGGTAAATATATCTTATCTGCTTTACCCATTCTGGTTTAAAATATTGGCATTTTTTAAAAAGTTGTGTATTTACTGTATGAAAACTTTATAATAACTGCAATAATTTTTTGGATGAAATTTCAGTTCAAGCAATATAAAGAAATGATCCAATATATTATACTTTTACATTATAGAAAAGCAAAATTAATTTAGGATTATAGAGAACATAAAATATCATTTATATCAAGTTCGTATCATTTAAAAAATTAGTTTTCTGTAAAGATTTTTGTTGACTAAGCATGAACATTACATTTTTTCATCTAATTTCATCGCATTATAAAGATGGTTCATTAAAATGCATGGGGCATTTTTCCAATTACTAGAACAGATTTCATTCACATAAAAATTTACATGAACATATCTAACAACCTTTAAGGTCATGTCTTTCCTCTTCCTTTTCTTCCTCTAAACTTTTCTACCTGTTCTCTCTGATAACATGGGGGGGCGTGTTTATTAGGAACCATTATTTTATTTTGTTTCATCTTCATTCTTTTTGTTGTTGTTTCACCATTTCATTCCTTTAGGGATTGTTCGAGTAGAGCAAAAGAATAATACTTTTTTTGACATGAACATCTTTGAAGATGGGCCTTATGAAGTTGGTGGAGAGACTGACCATGATGAAAGTCTCGTTCCTGTTCCTGCTAACAGTTATTTAGGTAGGAATGAGTGTAGGTGGCATGCCTACCTTTTCAGACACTGCGATTCTCCTTCAGTGGGCTCTGGGTCCCTGCCCTTACAGGCTGAGATAGGACAGGAGGAACTAGGGTCCTTGGCTGCAGTTGCTGGAGCTTAATAAGTCTTGGTGATCTGTAGGTAACCTGACTACCTGGGAACCTTCCCTTCTGATCTGGGCTCCCTCAAAGAGGGGAGAAAAAAACTTGCCATCATCTCAAACCATCCATTCTATCACTTTGAAGTTTGTCTCCTGAACCAGTGGTGGCCTGAGGCAGGCCATTCATGTGGCCAAGAGAAAATGTGGCTTGGGTGTTCACAGTAGGCCCATCTGCCTTCCCTCTGCCTTTGAGGCCTTTCCTCTGGAGATGCTCTTAAGAACTAACTTACAAAGTTACTCATAAGTGGTAGGTCGAGACCTCCAGTTCCTTCCTCTGTGATTGCCATTCTTCAGGGGTTGGCCCTTGCGTCTGGATTGGAGCTCCTATGTCACAGGGCTCTGGCGGGTGGCACAAGGCCTTCTGGGCTGAGGGTGGGCGGGACTGCAAAAGCAGCTCAGAGGACACCCGGATTGTATCTAAGTGCCAATTCCTTAACTCCTGAGGCTTGTTTGCATTACTAATGGGCGTTCTAAATTATTCCTGTGCATTATGGTAATTACACAAAGGCTTTTAAAAGCTTTAATTCTTGGGATGAGTTGACATAAAGAATAATTACTGCGCATTTCTTGGAAAAAATGTAAAAAATCTTCTAAACCTGAATAGTAACCTATTTTGAAAGAAAAAAAGACAAAGTACCCAGATGCTAGAGATATTATTGAAACAATGGAAGGTTAAAAATAAGGAAAAAATCCTAGAGTATGGTACATAAATAATTTGAAACAATGTGCTAGTAGACATACCTAAGTTGTTCTAATGGCATAAATATGTATGAATGGTACTATGAATTAATACTTTTGATATGTCGTTCTTTTCCCGAAGAAAAACTTGCTATGAAGGTGTAAAAGAAGAGGAAAATTATGCTTTCTGTTAAAAGCCTCTTGTGTACTATATGCAGTGCCTTATATATCTATGAATAAGTATTACTGTCCCCTGTCCCCTTTTCTTCTTCTTCTTCTTCCTCTTCTTCTTCTTCTTCCTCTTCCACTTCCTCTTCCTCTTCCTCCTCTTCCTCTTCCTCCTCTTCCTCTTCCTCCTCCTCCTCTTCCTCTTCTTCCTCTTCCTCTTCTTCTTCCTCCTCCTCCTCCTCTTCTTCTTCTTCTTTTTTTTTTTTAACTGCTGAGTGAAACTGTGGCTCAGGGAGCTTAATTTTCTAACCCAAGGCCACCACATAAGTAATCCCTCAGCCAAGACAAGAAATCCTCCTGACAATGAGGAAGCTGGGGAGCAGCTGGTCATGTGAATAGTCTACTAGTGTCCTCGCAGGACAGGAAGGGAGCTGGGGGGGGGGGGGTGTCAAGGGTTTGTAGCCTCAAGTATTAAAAGTGGGTTTTCAAGGTAAAAGCCCTCAAGGTGAGTAGCAACAAAACAATATTTTATTTATGGTTGTGTTAACCAACAGCCTTTCTTTACATGTATTATTTAGGGATTGAGAAGTATTAATTTTAATTGTTCTGGTCAAGAAACCAATATTTTGGGCTTTTATGGCAGATGCCTGTGGATTTTAAACATAGTTGCTGTCAGAACATATGAAAATATGAAACATTTTTTCTTAAACACGTTTGCCACCTTTAGAATGGATTTCCTCCAATATGAATGTCTGAGAAAGAAATCAGTTGGTATTATTCCATTTTACTTGTGTGTGTGTTGTGTGTGAAGCTGTGGTTGAAGAGAAGAATGGGAATACAGTGGATCTGCCTGAGGTCTGGGGAGCTGGCTGGGAGGGTAGCTCACTGGATATGGTAGCAGCCTTATCCGCCAGCCAGAATGGCAGCGGTGCTCCTGCCTCTTACCAAGCATAATGATTTTTTCTTCAATCTCTTCCATCCCGTGCATGTGTACAGGCCTGCTGTTTTTGACCAGCATTTCCTATACAGATCCCGATCAGTTTGTTTATAAAACACGGCCTCCCAGGGAGCAGCCTGACACATCCCCCGATGTGATGATGAATAGCTACCTAGGTTTGTGACCTCTGAGATGACAAATAAATTGTCTTGGTCATGGTCATTTAAAAATTTTTTTGATCCATACAGAGCATAAATCTTTTTATTTTCTATTTCATTTCAAGTGAAGCACACACAAAAAGCATGCCATTGGTTGAGGCTCTGCTGCCAGATGGTTTTCAGAGCTGGATTCAATTATATCACCCTATTCTAAACTTGTGGCTCATCATATTTTTCAACTCACAATTTGAGAACTGCAGCAGTAGTGGTGAAGCTTTTCAGGAATAAAGTCCTACAGGAAGGGTGAGCTTATATTTTTCTACATCTGCCTCACCCTTATATAGAAAGATTTGCTTAATTTTAAGAAGTTTGATATGGCCATTTATTTTTGCTGGCCAGCAAATCTCAGCTTTTGTAATCTGACATCCTACCTGATGCTTTATAATTCAGTATTTCAACATTTTCTGCCCTTTGAGCAAGAATGTAATTGATACCAGTGACAATTTACTCACCTCTATTGTTCACAGTAGGTTCTCAAATACTGTGTATCATCAGTCATGGTTTTGTTTGCATGCTTGTGTCTGAGAATTAAGTTCATCCAAAATAATGCAGTGCTATCTATGGTCTATTAATGATGCTGGCATTTGTTCTTGCCTGATTACCAAGGAGATTGATGAACATGGATGATGAGTATATGGGTTGCTGTCCTTTTATCAGTTTTAATATTAAAGTAGGATTTGAACTGATTCTTAAGATACACGAATACTTCATAATTCAAATTACACAAATGCTAAATAACATAGGCACTTTTCTTTAAAAGTCCTAAAAACTCAGAAAGCAGAGAAGTAGCCCTAGTACTTTGTTCTAGTGTCAAATATCTCAGCTCTCTAACTCCCATTATAAATATGGTAGCTGGAGGATGGTCAGGAGGAGAGCTGGGTGGGAAGCCAGAGGAGAAGATAATGATGGAATTTACCAGTGCCATATACTTCCTGAAATACAGGATTGATGCCAGAGGTTCTATTTTGTTTTTCTAGGCTTTTCTTTGGACTCAGGGAAAGGTATTGTTTCTAAAGATGAGATCACTTTTGTGTCTGGTGCACCAAGAGCCAATCACAGTGGAGCTGTGGTTTTGCTAAAAAGAGACATGAAGTCTGCACATCTTCTCCCCGAGCACATATTTGATGGAGAAGGTCTGGCCTCTTCATTTGGCTATGACGTGGCAGTGGTGGACCTCAACAAAGACGGGTAAGGAAGTAGGAGGTGATTTTATGCTGGGAATCGTGGCTACTTTTACCACCTTTTGTAATTCTTAAGAACAGTCATCCTTTTAGGTTAGTGGGTGTAAAGATTGTATCTGCTGCTAGATTTTTACCATCCCACCCCATCTTCACCATTTGTATGGCAGCAGATATTCATTATCCTACCCAGGGTGTAGGATTACATGTTTAATGCTCAGTGTTTACTCATGTCTTGGAAACGTGGGTTCATGAGAATTAAAACTTGAAAAAATAATTAACTCAGAAAATTACATCTACATGATTCTGTTCTGTGGTTTCCTAAGGGGCCATAGAGCATCCAGAATGTCTCCTTGAAGGTGGGGATTAGTAGCCTGGGTGCAGCTCAGTATTGGAGCCCTCACAGGCTCCTGGGTTTAATACCCAGCACCTCCCACCACCACCCAAAAAATAGGGACTGGTGACAAAGTCAATATGTAAATAATCTATGGTAACTGGTGCCAGGTAGAGAGGTGTGAAGTAGTGAGATCTTTGCTGGGAATCCTGCTGTACTGTTGTAACTTGAGGAAGTGACTTTGAGTTTTTACCTTTAATACTTTTCTTGGGGTAATTATTATAGGCTACTTTGATTTTTCTTTAAAATGTTTTAACTGGTGTTACATAAATCTTGATTTGAGGTCTTATTTTATCTTTTTGTTTGTCCTTAATACTGGGCTGCTTGTATTCTCCCCAGGCTTACAGGTCTGTTAGCCAATGGTTCATAGTTCTTTCCCCTCATGTTCTTAGGTGGCAAGATATAGTAATTGGAGCCCCACAGTATTTTGACAGAGATGGAGAAGTTGGAGGTGCAGTATATGTCTACATTAACCAGCAAGGCAGATGGAATAATGTCAAGCCAATTCGTCTTAATGGAACCAAAGATTCTATGTTTGGCATTGCAGTAAAAAATATTGGAGATATTAATCAAGATGGCTATCCAGGTAGATAACAAATTATGAGATGGTAATGATTTATAGGTGGATTATTTGGTTATTTTAATGAATGTTTGTGTCTTCTTATTTTAAAAACATTGTACTGGAGTGTTGGTAAAACTGTGGTGTTGTCGACAGATATTGCAGTTGGAGCTCCCTATGATGATTTGGGGAAGGTTTTTATCTATCATGGATCCGCAAATGGAATAAATACCAAACCAACACAGGTAACCTGGATTTCTATAAGTGGAGTCTCAGCAAAAAGTTGACCCAAGACTTCTGGCCTTGTAATATTTACGTTTAAGTGAATTGTTCTACTTACTAGTCTGTAATAGTATGAATTTTTCTTTTTTTAAAAAATATTAAGGTAGGGAGGAGTGATTTGCATTGCTCTGATTGACTTAATGTAGTAAAATAGACATAAAAATTTGCTCTTTTATCCTTTGAGATACTGTGTAAATCATGAGTCTTATGAAATAAAATGTATGAAGTATTATATGTGTATTTGTAATTTATTTATAATTTAATATAAAGCATAAGTGAACTCGAACTTCAGTTCAAAAAAGAACTTGCGTGTCTTTTTTCAAAGCATAGATAATCAGCTCATTTCTGGTGGCTTGGTATCCATTCTGATGTCCTTTGTATTTCAGGTTCTTGAGGGTACAACACCTTCTTTTGGATATTCAATTGCTGGAAATATGGATCTTGATAGAAATTCCTATCCTGATGTTGCTGTTGGTTCCCTCTCAGATTCAGTAGCTATTTTCAGGTTTGTTTTCTTTAACTTTGGTTAAGGATGTTCTATAATCAAGTTCTTCTATATCAGGTTTTGACCTTTTAAATTGAAATTTGTAATACTCATGCTTAAAGGCAACAGCTTGTATAAATTTTAAAGATATTTCCTTTTTCTTTTGAGCTGGGTATAATATCATCATAGAATTACTTCTGTAATATCCTGTTCATTTTGAACTATAAATACACCTTTGAAACCTTTCTTTTGATGCAAAAACAAAACAAAACATTTGACAGTACAAAAAAAGTAAAGAACAAAAATACCCTACAAATTCACTATTCATTCTTGAACTCCAAACATATGATTTTAGTCTTATTTCCTGGTGGGATATATATATTTACCAACTTGAGATCATAATGTACATATTGCCTGTAACCTGCTTTTGTCCACTCATGCTGCATAGAGGACTTCCCCCATACCAGGGAGTGCTTTTCTAAAATGAAATTAACAGCTTGGGAGGCCTCCCATGCCAGATTCATGATTTATTGAACCACACTGTCATTGGTCATTGACATTGCTTCCCAGTTCCCACCACTGCCATATTATAAGAAGTGGTCCCAATGCTTATGTTTGTTCATGCCCTTGATTTTTTTCCCCGTGACAAACTCCTCCTGAAAGTGAAATTACTGTATAGGTTTGAAGACTTGACTCAGTTTCCCCAGAAAGGCTGTGACTGTGCCCATCAGCTGCTTTTGAATCTCCTTTCCCCAGTGTTTTCATTGCTACTGAGAATCACTGTTAAAAAATTATTTTTAAAAATTTTATTATAAAAGCAGATCCTTATTTTAAAACAGAATTGTAGAAAGTGTGAGTTCATAAGTATTCTTATCCTCTACAAAACAAATTTTAGCAGTTTTGAGTATCTCTGTATATTTAGGATCTTCAAAGGCCATATTACAACTGCTTTTCTCTGGTGTGTAAAAATGTCATGTCTTTTGGGTACTTTTCCTTGTCAATACAAACATATATACAGACATGTAATATGACTTAATATTAATCCATCATATGCAGTGGATCAATCCTCAGTTGATAAAAAATTTTAGATAGTTTGATCTTTATTATAAACAATATGTGCACATGCACACACACACACACAGGTTTGCAATGCTGCACTGGGCTCCAAGGATGCTTCTGAATACATAGTACATTGTTCATGTCTGAGTGATGATGTTTTTTAATAAAAATTCCTAGAAATAGAATTCTGGGAATATAGGTTAGCATTTTTTTGCATTAGTACATATACTGCCAGATAAGGTGCAACAGTTTCTGTTCATGGAGAGGGCCTGTTTTCTCTCAGCCTTACCAATGTTGAATATAATGCACCTAATTTTTGCCAGTGTGATAAATGATCTCACCTTTTGATGTAATTTGCATTTCTTTGCTAGTGAAAATGAACCATTTGGATGTTTTGTTAGCTATTTGTCATTATAGTAGTTTTCATTTCTTAAAAAGTAACCTTAGAGAAATGGGCAGTAATATATGGTAAAACTCTAAATTAGAAAAGCTGTGTTCTCTGTATACTGGGATGCTTTCATTGCCCTGTATTCTTTCAGAAGATTTCCAGGTATAGGCACAGCTGCCACACCTAAAAGATAATCCCTCAAAGCCCCAGAGATTAGAAACCAACCCCAGGACGGTTTTTGTTTGAGACGGAGTTTCATTATGTTGCCCAGGCTGGTCTTGAACTCCTGGGCTTAAGCCATCCTCCTGCCTCAGCCTCGGGGTGGACCTATAGGTTTGCAATGCTGCACCGGGCTCCAAGAATGCTTCTGAAGAGACTGTTTTGATGCAGTGAAAGAAAAATCAATTTCTGGTTAAATAGCAAGAGCTAGGAAAGCTATCTCATGAAAACTTAAGAACCATGGAAATGAGTTACAGATGGCAAAAGTACGAGATATCAAAATAAGTGGAGAAGAGGATATGAGGAAGAAACCAAAGTTAACCAAATACATGAAGATCTGTATGGGACTTGGGAGGGAAAGAGCATGGGGGAGAGGAGGCTACGTAGATGGTGGCTTGTGTTCTTGGTGATGAAGTCTTGAAGTCTTAAGATCCCCTTGACCTTCCGATCCACCATGCTGGAGAGCAGAGCAGGTAGCACTGTGTGTCCTCCCAGGTTAACATGCTCAGGAGGGGTTCCGCAGCAATCCTCAGACGCTGCCTTTACATGCATGCTTCTCTCTGCTCACGGAGGTAGTAGCCTTAAAGTAATTCAACATTTTTAAAAGGTAGAGTTTATGACATTCAACTATTTTAGCAAGCTTTTTAGGTAAGGCGATTCAAAGTTCTAGTGTGAGGTATCATACTATCAAAGACACTAGACTTCTTTTGCCAATAATCTCATTACCAAGTTTTCCCCATAAATAGATAACCAAACTTTAGATAAGCATTTGCCTCTGTCTAGGTGTAATTGATATTTTACTGTCCTTACTTTGCAGTCCTCATAACTAGGTTGGTGATTAAACCCTATTAACTTCTTTCTTCTTTCTCCCTAGATAGTGTAAAAGCAAATTTCAAAACCCTTTGGTAACAAGAGAACCAATCCTCTTATTTTTCAAATGAAGAAACTGAGGCCCAGGACTTGCTTGAGGTTTTAAGGCTGGGTCCTTAGAGAACAGGGTATAGTACCTAAATATTCCCAACCTCAGTCCTATTAAATTGTACAAGTACTTCAGGGTATTTGAACACTGATTAAACATGAGGCAGCCAAGTAAGATTTGCCTTATGTGTTAGACACATTTTTTTTCATTTTTATGTATAGTGCCCTCAAAACTATATGTTGTCTGTTTAAAAAACAGAAGTTAAAGTAAGCCTAAGGCAGAAATGTGTTAAAATATTTTAGAATTTATGCCACACTAATGCTTTAATGCTATGACATGTAAAACACTCTACATCTGTGGCTACTGATTTTAAAATACAGTAAGAAAAAAAAGTGTGAGTTTTTGCCTTTTAAATATGCTCTCAAAACTCAAAAATATATTGAATCAGTGTCTTGGAAACCAACAGCTAGCTAAATATAACAAAAAAAGAGACAGGAAAATGGAGAAATGGGAAATATGGGCATTTTTCCCTTTTACTGGTCCCTGTCTTTGCCCTGAATGGACTCATGCCCTCTCCAGCCCATAACATAGATTGATTCCAGAAGTTCAAGCTCACTGTTTGGGATTTGGAACCCATTTTTCTATAAAAACACTTTTCTCCAGGATGGCTAGATTTATCACAAGCTCACAAAAATAAGCCTTGCTGAATACATTGACACCTTCTGAGTTCTGGCTGGGGAGCCATGGAGGTGAGCAGGATCTTCCAAGCTCACCATGGACTGGTATTTCCTGTGGCGGTGATGGAGCTCTGACTCATGGTGACCTCTTTGACTGTCTTGAGCAGGGAGGAATACTTAGGGAGAGAAAAGATGTTTCACATGGTGAGCAGGACAAAGGTGTAATTCCCCAGTGCTGTTTGTGGGTTCCAGGAGGAAGAGGGATGGGAATAGGTGGAGGGATTCGAGTGTTTGCTCAGAGTTATTGTGGGGCTAAGGAAGTTGTATGACTACACCTTCTTAAGGTGGTGGGATTTTTGGGAGGAGGATAAAAGAAGGGCAAATGTTTATAAGATGGAGATTAAAAAGTTCAGGATTGGCTGTATTGCTAAAATTCACAGATACATAGACTCCTTGCCAGCAGCCCAGGTTTAGATGTATGTTGGTGTAAGATGTGGTGGAAGGGTATTTTGGCAAGATTACTCAGAATTAAAAATGCACATTACCTCACCCCAGTAAGAATGGCTTTTCATAAATCAGAAGAAATGAAGTAGTGCTGGCAAGAAGGTGGAGGAAAAGGAGCACTTGCACACTGTTAGTAAAAGTGTAAACTAGTGTAACCATCATGGAAAAACAGTACAGAGGGTTCCTTAAAGTAAAAATAACCAGACGAGTTAGTGTACACTTGTAGTTCCAGACATTTGGGAGGCTGAGACGGGGATCCAAGTTTGAGGCCAGTCTGGACAACATAGCAAAAACCCTGTCTTGAAAAATAAAAATACAAAGGGTAGCCTGGGACTGTAGTTTTTGGTGTCAGAGTGCTTGCCTAGCATGTGCAAGGCCCTGAGTTCAATCTCCTGTACCAAACACATGCGCAAAAGAAGAGCTACAATATGATTTAGCAATCCTACTATTGGCTATATATCCAAAGGAAATGAAATCAGTATTTCAAAGAGACATCTGCACTTCCGTGTTTATTGCAGCACTATTCACAAGAGCCAAGAAATGGCAACAACCTGTGTCATCAACTGATGGAACGGATAAAGAAAATGTGGCTAGTATATACAATAGAATACTATTCAGCCAATAAAAAAATGGGAAATCATGTCATTTGCAACTGCCTGGCTAGAACTGGAGATCGTTATGTGAAGTGAAATAAGCCAGGCACAGAAAAACAAATACTGCATGATTCCACTTGGGTAGAATCTAAAATAGTTGATCTCATGAAAGTTGAGAGTAGGAGAGTAGGGAGAGCAATAGAGAGGGATGGTGGGGAGAACTTTCTCGGTGGGGACTAAGTTCCAGATAGGAGCAAAGAGTTGGCATGTGCTCTTGCACCATAGGTTGACTAAAAATAACTAAGCTATATTTTATAAAGCTACAAGAAAGGATTTTGAATGTTTTCACCATAAATAAATGGTAAACGTTTCAGCAGATCGGTATGTGTACCCTGATTGACACATTTCACATTACACATGTATCAGAACATCACACGGGACCCTATAGAATTTTCATATATTTATGAATTTACGTATGTATAATTATGTGTGTAGAATTTTCAAATGTTTATGTTAAAATAAATTTAAATAAAAATGTTTAAATGTATATATTCCTTGACTTAGAAATTCTGCTAGGAATTCATCCTACAGATGAACTCACGTGGATGTGTGAGTTTGTGCTGTGATATTTGTCAGAGAAGAAAGCCTAACAAGAATAAAGTCTACCAATTGGGACTGATTAAATAAAGAACACTGCATTGACACAGTGTAGCCATTAGTTGTGGAAAAATATGAATGAGATCTCAGTGTATACATTTGAGAAGACCTTGAAGATGTCAGTGAATTAGGCAAAGCAGTGTACAGGACAATAAGCATAAAAAGCTCCCATTTAATTGAAACTTTTTAATATTTAATATTAGATAATATTTGTAACAAACCCATAGACTGTTAGGGGGTTTGGGTATATCAGAGGCATGATATTTGTGCCAAGACTGTGAAACTTACATGTTGTATGTATTACTCATAAGTTTGTAAATTTTAAATACTGTATAATTTTAAATATTGTATCCTTCAAGTGATATACATTTATATCAACAGTTATTGCTTTGATGATGATGAGGGAGTCGCATGTGCAAATTTCTGCTGTGGGTTTTAAGGTGTACCAGGACAGCTGAAAAGGCCATGTACTATGTGAATGAATCTCATATTCAAGGTAACAAAGGCTGAGCTGTTTTTCACTCCTTTGTCTTCAGGTCCCGGCCTGTGATTAACATTGCGAAAACTATCACAGTAACTCCTAGCAGAATTGACCTCCGCCAAAAAACAGCATGCGGTGCGCCAAGTGGAATATGGTGAGAGTTATTCCGGGTTCCAAGAAGCCTGGCTCAGTTTCCTCTGCTTTATGGTGACCCTGTCGCCCTGGGGAGCCACAGGGAAGATTAAGGGCATGCTGGGCAAAGAAAAGAGCAATCTGTCCAGTGAATATATGACATTTTACTCATCAGTGGGCAGCGGGGGGATTGGAGAGCTGGGGAGAGTGTTGTTTTTTTTTCCTACTTCAGCAATACATCTTTTAAGAAATACGTGTTTGATTTCATACAGCCTCAAGGTTAAAGCCTGTTTTGAATATACTGCCAAACCCGCTGGTTATAATCCTTCAATATGTAAGTACCTAGTACATTAAAAAAATATATATTCTCTCTCTGCCAGATTGAAAATTCTACAAACATCACAGAAAAACAAAACTGCACTGTCGAAAGTGGGTCCATAAATTCTTGCTTAAAGAATTAAGTGTTTTTGTGGTTTCCCCTTTTAATCAAGAGGATGCAGCTCAGTGAGGCAGGAAAAACTCTGCATTTGGTCCCCATTTGAATTTTCCAAAGCAGATGGTTTGAGACAGAATGCCTTGGAAAAATACTTATTTGCTACCACAACGGTTTCCTCCGTTTCTGTCTTTGAAAAGCAATGTGGAAAATTGGTTTTGTGGTTGTGAGGTGGTGGGCGGTGGTTGTGGAAAGGGGCTAAGGAGCCGGAGCAGGGTGTGGCTTCGTTGCTCCTTCAAGGTCCCCTCTCAGGGGCTTTGAGGCTGGGACACCCAAGTTGTATTCTCAAGGGCAGCCCCTGCTGGTAGGGAGGGGTGAAGAGACTGAGGCTTGCTTCTAGTTTTAGCAGTGTCCCTGACCCCACAGTCCAGGGCAAGTGCCCTAACCTCTGAATTTTTATTTTCTATCAGTTAAAAGCAATGCCTCTATTAGGCACCAGTGCCTGGAGTGATGGTAACCAAATGAAAATGTGATAAAGGGCTGGGCACAGTAATCCCAGCAGCTTGGGAGGCTGAGACAGGAGGATCACGAGTTCAAAGCCAGCCTCGGCAAAAGCACAGAGGCACTAAGAAACTCAGTGAGCCCCTGTCTCTAAATAAAATACAAAATAGGGCTGAGGATGTGGCTCAGTAGTCAAGTGCCCCTGAGTTCAATTCCTGATACCACTCCCCACTGCCAAAAATGTGATAAAGGCTTTGTAGTATTCTGCCTCCTTTCTTTGTAATCCAAAATAGGATTTTTGCCACAAATTTTGACCTGGCTAATTATGCTCTAAAATACCAATGGTAGCTAAGGTCTTCTCTGGTATGTTTTAGTAACAGCAACACCTATAGTTTTGAGCCACCTGACCCAGCTTTAGAGTTGAGGCAAAGGCATGGGAATTTAAAGAAAATACTTTTCTGCCAGTGTGATGGCTCTTACCTGTAATCCCAGCTACTTGGAAGGCTGAGACAGGAGGACCACAGTTCGAGGCCAGCCTTGGCAATTTAGCAAGAGCCTGTCTCAAAATAAAAATAAAATGGGCTGGGGGTGTAGCCCAGTGCTTGCCTAGCATTTGTGAGTTCCTAGGTTTAATGCCTAGTACCACAGGGAGTTGGGGGGAGTTCTTTTTCCAAAGAGAAAAAGAATGAGGGAATTTCCATCTCAGCTCAGTGTTCTGTAATATGGATACCACCAAGGGAGGCTTTGGGAAGGACAGGGTCAATCTGTTCTCATATCTTTTTCCCTGCCTTGAGCAATGAATTCTCTGAAGCTTCTTTTTTTGTTGTTTTTGGTTGTTGTTGTTTTTTTAATATATTTATTTATTTATTTGGTACTGGGGATTGAACCCAGAGGCACTTAACCACTGAGCCACATCCCTAGCCCTTAAAAAAAATTAAATTTATTCCTTTATTTATTCTAATTAGGTATATATGACATCAGAATGCATTTTGATTCATAGTACACAATGCAATGCAACTTTTCATTTCTCTGGTTGTGTACAATGTAGCATCGCACCATATGTACAGTCATAAATGTACTGGGGAATGATGTCCATCGCATTTCACCTTTTCTCCTGCTCCCATTCCCCTTCCCCTACCCTCCCTCCCCTTTGCCCAATCAAAGTTCCTCCATTCTTATCATGCCCCCCATCCCGCCCCTTATGGATCAGCATCCACTTATCAGAGAGCACATTTGGTCTTTGTTTTTTGGGATTGTCTTACTTCACTTAGCATGGTATTCTCCAACTCCATCCATTTACCTGAAAATGCCATAATTTTATTCTCTTTAATGCTGAGTAATGTTCCATCATGTGTATAGAAGACTCCTAAAGCACAAGAAATAAAATCAAGAATTAATAAATGGGATGGATTCAAACTAAAAAGTTTCCTCTCAGCAAAAGAAATAATCAATGAGGTGAAGAGAGAGCCAACATTTTGGGAAGAAATTTGTGGCACACACACATCAGATAGAGCACTAATCTCTAGGATATACAAAGAACTCAAAAAACTTAACACCAAAAAAACACAAACAACCCTATCAATAAATGGGCCTAGGAACTGAACAGATGCTTCTCAGAAGATATACAATCGGTCAACAAATATATGAAAAAATGTTCCACATCTCTAGTAATTAGAGAAATGCAAATCAAAACTACTCTAAGATTTTATCTCATGCCAGGCAGAATGGCAGTTATCAAGAATACAAGCACCAAAAGTGCAAGAACCACCATTTGACCCAGCTATTCCACTGCTCAGTCTATACCCAAAGAACTTAAAATTAGCACACTATAGTGACACAGCCACATCACAGCTCAGTTCACAATAGCTAAACTGTGGAACCAACCTAGATGCTCTTAAATAGATGAATGGATAAAGAAACTGGTATATATACACAATGGAATGTTACCAGCCCTTTTTTTGTATTTTATTTAGAGACAGTGTCTCACTAAGTTGCATAGATCTTTGCTAAGTTGCTGAGGCTGGCTTTGAACTTGGGATCCTCCTACGTCAGCCTCCTAAGCTGGGATTAGAGGCATGCAACACTATACCTAGCTTGAAGCTTCTTTTTGTTATTGAAAATATTACTCTTTTCTTTATTTAAAAAGATGTCCCCTGGGCTGAGGTTGTGGCTTAGTGGTAGAGTGCTTACCTAGCATGTGTGAGGCCCTGGGCTTGATTCTCAGTGCCACATATAATTAAATAAATGAAGATCATTAACAACTAAAAAAAAAAAAAAAAATAGATGTCCCTTCTAATGTACCAGAATTTAATTCAAATAAACTAAGGTGGTTCTTTGAAATAGAAGAAAATAACCACACTGGGGGACTAGGATACACAGTGGTAAATCTTACACAGATCATTACTGCTTTCTTTCTTGGTACTGGGAGTTGAACCCAGGGGTGCTTAACCTCTAAGCCACATCCCCAGCCCTTTTTATTTTTCATTTAAAATTTTTTTAAAAATACATTTTTTTAGTTGTAGATGGACGGGATTCCTTTATTTTATTTATGTGGTGCTGAGGTTCAAACCCAGTACCTCACACATGCTAGGCAAGCATTCTACCATTGAGCCACAGCCCCAACCTCTTTATTTTTTATTTTTGAGACAGGGTCTTGCTAAGCTGTTTAGGACCCAAGTTGCTGAAGCTGACCTCAAACTTGTGATCCTTTTGCCTCAGCCTTCTGAGTCACTGGGATTACAGTGTGTGCCACCACACCAGGTCACAACTGTATTCTTAGGGGTACTTTTCATTCTTATTTAACTTCATATAACGTTTCATGTAACAGTATTGAATACACCCAGTAAGAAAGCGGGAACATTTAATAAATTATGAGAAGTAACAGTTTAAATAAACATATTGTTTATAGCAGGTTTTTAAATGTCTGTCTTTACCCACTTCTCATTGTTGTAGGCCTAGTTAGCCTTCTTCCTTCCAGATTTTAATCTATCCCCAGGTAGTTTCCCCATCTCCCTTTCTACTGGGCTGTCTCCTGCTGTCTTGTCTCTGAAGGGGAACTGGCAGAACTGTGAGAAGGGCTTTGGTGTGATGTATCCCAGTGTGCAGGGGAACTCTCTGCTCTCTGGGGGCAGCCAGCCTTGGCTGCACCGCTTTTAATGACAGGACGACATATACCATGTCTCCTCTGGATCTCTCATCCTCTCATCCTCGTTGGTGTTATTTTACCCAAATACAGTACCTTAACTTACTTATCTTACACTTCCTGGAAAATAGGCCTTTTTCCTTTGTTTGACATGGATTCGAGAGACGAGAAGCAAGTGATTCTTGGATGGGGAGAGGAAATGGGGAAACATTTTTTATTCCATGCTGATTGCCATTTTTTTCATGCCATTCTGTTTCACTAACAAATATGAAACCTCATCAGAGCTCTCCTTCTTCCAAATTAATCTTTTGTATAAGAGAAATCACAAGCTTTCTCCTAGCTTCAATGCAACATTTGATGCCATGTGTTTGCTTTGACTGTCCCATTAACCAGGTGCTTATTGATGTCTCATTATGTTGGAACTTTTTTCTTTGAAGGCATTCAGAGCACACTATTTTTCATAGCTTGTACTTCCATAGTATTAGAAGCGGCTAAATAGGGCTTGCACAAAGCTGCATAACTCAATACATCTAGAATCTTCTCCCAATATCCCAAAATGTGAGCTTATTGTTTGACCAGGATATTAAACGCTCAGATGTAGTGTCCCATACATACAGATATTCATAATTGAACTTTAATGAGCATTCTACTTGGCTCCCCCCTCAAAAAGTCAGCAAAAGTGACATGAAGGGATTTTAAGATGACGTGGACAGTTTAGAGGGCTAGAGAGGGTCAGAGTGAGTTTGGTAGATAAATGATTTTAATGCACCCACACCCTCCTGTGCTTTTGCCGAGCGGGCAGTCGGCATGTGAGCCGACTGGTTCATTGTGAAGGTAGCAGGTCACTGATAAATGGATGGTGTCAGGGCTACAGAGGGCCTAAAATGGAGGAGCCTTCCATTTGGCAGCTGTGACATTTAAGAATATTTCAGATAGACACAGAAATGACTATTAAAACTGTCAGTGTTTCTAAATTTTGGCCTTACATATCTGAATAGCTATCAATCATTTCAGCATAAGAATAAGTCACTGTGTGTGTAGATGCGGGGGCAGTTCCTCTCACTCCTCTTCACCTGTTCTGCAGATAATTTTTCTATTGGGTGTTGTGCTAGTTGCTTGGAATGCAGTGGTGAGCTTGGCCCTGCTGCAGAAGACAATCCGGCAATCTCAGTGAAGTGGGCAGCAGGACTGGAGACATGGAGCATTCTTGGGTGGTGTAGGAGAGGCCAGCACAGACTAATTGGAGGAAGTGATGTCCAGTCTGAGATCTGAAGGAGGAGTAGGGTTAGGCCAGGGATGGTGGGAAAGGAGGGAATGCATCCAGCAGAGGAAGGGATGGGACCCATGCAGAGGTCTAGGGACAGTTGAAACCTGGGCATCTAAGTGGCTAGATAAAGCTGCCATCTCTTGTGTTTATATTAGAGACTTAGAGCTGATGATGCCTCTGTCCCTCACTACATGACCCCAGCCTCCTTTTCTTCATCTACCAAAGAGACTATTAAAATAGATGCTTTTGTAAAGGTTTCTTCCATGCTGGGCATTGTGATGCACACCTGTAATCCCAGCAACTCAGAAGACTGAGCAGGAAGATCACAAGTTCAAGACCAGCCTGGGCTATTTAGTAAGACTTTTTCCCAAAAAAATAAAAGGACTGGGTAGGGCAAAGGTCCTCTGTGTTTCATCCCTGTTACCAAAAAATTAAAATTTAAAAAATTTTTAAAAAGATGGCTCCTAGCCCTGCATGAGTATTGGAATGTCAGTTGTTCATTCCTTTATTTTCTATGGTAGAGTGTTTCCCTCTGCGGCCTTCTCCTTCCCCAGCCCTTTGCACCCTGTGATTTGCTTTCCCTGCCAGTGGTTAGTGAGTGCTTAATGAATTAAGTAATTTAAGTACTGAGCCCTGAAAAACATAGTTAGCAGCTACATCCAGTGACCTGATGAAAAATGCATTCTGAAGTCCAGAAATGAGATTTTGATCATCCAAATCCTGGCTTGCCTCTTAGTTCCATTGGTAGAGGGCAGGCCGTCCTAGACTGCTAAGATTGGAATCCATTTGCATTTTGTTGACAAACAGACCCTCCAGCAGCCTCTGCAAGAAACGTCACTTAGCATCTTTTTTTTTCCCTTTTTTTTTTTTAATGAAAGTTCTCATCTGACTCTCAAGACCTCTTATGTCTAATACATGTTATTTTTTTGTTTAGACAACTGTTCTTTATCAGCACTTCTTAAACTTGAATATGTATAAGATCACCTGGGGATGCTGTTAAAATGCAGGTTCCGGTTGAGCTGGCAGGAGATGCTGCTTCCCAGAGACCTTTTTTGAATAGCAAAGGCCCCGAGGTCCTTGAAGCACAAACACTTTGAAGGGAAAGAGTCCTGAGGGAGTTTGGGGTGTGTTTGGTTATCTACTCTGTAGGTTCCCAAAATCCATCCACAAGTGATTGATTCTTGGTTGCTGCTGCAGGAAGGTTTTGACTTATTCTGGAGCTCCCCCAGGTGGCCCAATGGAAATTTAACTTCAAGACATTGCTGACAGCAGGGGGAAGGAAAAGACAGTTTGATTCTAAACATCACAAATCTTTGAAATGTACCTGACCAGGAAATATGGAGAGCAGCAAAGACACTGAGAAAAACCGTTATGAGGAATTAAAATATTTTAAAAGGAGGTCAACCCCCTTGCAGCCGGATGGTACATGAGCATGCTTTAAGTTAATGTCATTTTGTTAACTTTCTCTAGCAATTGTGGGCACCCTGGAAGCTGAAAAAGAAAGAAGGAAATCTGGGCTGTCATCCAGAGTTCAGTTTCGAAACCAAGCTACTGAGCCCAAGTACACTCAAGAACTGACTCTGAACAGGCAGAAGCAGCGGATTTGCATGGAGGAAACCCTCTGGCTGCAGGTGGGGACTGTGATGGTCACTTTGGCTCTTACAGAGGGGAGCAATTGGGTTTTATGGCCACACACATAGCTTTTTTGAAATTGATTCTAGCAGCCTGTTAATCAACACACAGTCATCATTTAGGAGGAGTTCCCCTCTTGCGTTTTCACCATGGTTAGCTTTATCGCTGCGCACTTTGCAGGAAAACATCAGAGACAAACTGCGCCCCATCCCCATAACTGCTTCCGTGGAGATCCAGGAGCCCAGCTCTCGCAGGCGAGTGAATTCACTACCAGAAGTTCTTCCAATCTTGAATTCAAACGAACCCAAGATGGCCCACACAGATGTAAGTCTCCCTGACTATGGCTTTGCCAGTGTTGTTGCCATTTTCATGATGCTAAATGCAATGGAACCCTGGATGGCTTTTAAAAGCCCCTCCTTTGTATTTATATCCTTTTTTAATATATACAAAGTTGGTCTCAAAAGACTTGTTTCCCAAATTAGCAATGAATAGAGAAACTTGTGAAATATAATTTGAGGCCAGAGAGTATTTGTCTTCATGATTTGGGGCCACTATAATTTTTTGAGACTGGCATTGACAGCTTATGTTCGAAGATCTTTTCTCTTGTAGCTGTGTGTAGAAAGAAAAACTCATTGGGTTTTACCATTGGGAAAAGTAAGACAGAAAACAAAGTACTGTTAGAACATAAAAATTAAGGAATATCAAAATTATGCAAGGCAAAGAAGTACTCACAATGAAGTAATCAGTTAGGGCCTAATGCAACCTAGGTCATCTTAGAAAGAAAAATATACATTATATGGCTCGATGGACACCTCATGGGATCCTCATGAGGTGGAATCTGTTTGCTAGGGCTTATACTTTTGAATAATTTGTGTGCTTTGACTTTATTGCTTGTTATCAGCAAGTATTTCTTGTATATATTCCCAGATCCATAGTTCTGTTAAATATAAAGGAAAGAAGACAGTTCTCCTGCTTATGGAGCAGTGTGATTATTGAATTCATTATCAAACACTGTGCTAGAAACCCTGCCACTTGCCTTCCTAACCTTAAACTCTCTTCCCTCATCTCCACTGCGGAGCTCATGATACTGGGACCTTTTCTTCCTCAGTGATCTATTGTGAGAATTGAGTTTAAATATATAAACGATGTGTTAGCTGGCACCATCATTGTTTTTGATAATTCTTCCTACACGTGGGCTAGAACACAGGGTGGTAGTGTCTTCAGTGGACCCATTATAAAACTTCAATTCTGAAAGGTTCGGTATTGGCCTCAAGCCACACATCTAAGTGGCCCAGCCAGGTTTTCTGTGGTTCCACTCACTGCCCACACTCTGCTGCTCCAGGCTGCCTGCCCGCCCGCCTGGCCAGTGTTTTGGTAAAGGACCAAGCAGGAATTGAGTATATAGCAAGGTGTGTTTGAATTCTGTCATGGTCGTCAGCACTCAGGCAAATGGATTGTATGGGAACTGTTTTAGATGCCTGTCTGGCTTTCTTTTCCTACAGGTGCACTTCTTAAAAGAGGGATGTGGAGACGACAACGTATGTAACAGCAACCTTAAACTAGAATATAAATTTTGTACCCGAGAAGGAAATCAAGACAAATTTTCTTACCTTCCAATGTAAGAATCGCCCTATAGTACTAGCAAAAGTGACTCTGGCTTCTAGGTGGCCTTTTGTTAAGAAAGGGTTACTGAGGGGCTGGGGTTGTGGTTCGTGGTAGAGCACTTGCCTAGAATGTGTGAGGCACTGGGTTTGATTCTCAGCACTACATATAAATAACTGAATAAAATAAATGTCCATCAACAACTAAATAAATAAATAAGGGGGAGGTTACTAAAAGGCCGGGGCTGGGATTTGGTGGTAGAGATCTCGGTTAGCATGCACAAGCCTGGGTTGGTTCCATTTTCAGCACCACAAAAGAAAAGTGAGAGTTACTGTGTGTGTATTGATGACTTTCTCTTTTTTGTTGTTGTTTTTTTAATAGTCAAAAAGGCATACCAGAGCTAGTTTTAAAAGATCAGAAAGATATTGCTTTGGAAATAACAGTGACAAATAGCCCTTCCAACCCAAGAGATCCCACAAAAGATGGTGATGATGCCCACGAAGCCAAACTCATTGCAACGTTTCCGGACACTTTGACCTATTCTGCTTATAGAGAGCTGAGGGCTTTCCCTGTAAGTATTTTCTGAGACTAGCTGAGAGGGAAAAATCAACACCATGGGGCACAGGATCCTGCTGTGACCTGGGGCATTTTTCTGTTACAGGAGAAACAGTTGAGTTGTGTTGCCAACCAGAATGGTTCCCAAGCTGACTGTGAGCTCGGAAATCCTTTTAAAAGAAATTCCAGTGTACGTGATGCCTTTACATATTGCATTTTACAGTTCTAAATACCATTTAAGTGCCCATATGCTTGGCCTGTGTTAATAGCTATTTATTTTTTTAGGTTACTTTTTACTTGATTTTAAGTACAACTGAGGTCACCTTTGACACTACAGATCTGGACATTAACCTGCAGTTGGAGACGTAAGTTTATTTCAACCTTCCCATTCAGAATTATTTTATGAAAACCCTGGCTGTCAATGAATTGGCACTGATCTAAGCCATAAAAGAAGTATAATTGAAATGAGAAAACTGACTGTTAAAATAAAACCCTATTGTTTCCTTTTCATTTTCAGAACGAGCAATCAAGATAATTTGGCTTCAATTACAGCTAAAGCAAAAGTGGTTATTGAACTGCTTTTATCGGTCTCTGGGTAAGTGTTTGTGTTTAGCATAACAAATCAATGTTTGAAAGAACCATTTACAATCCTTACTAAAACTGGTGTTTTTTAATTTAACAGAGTTGCTAAACCTTCCCAGGTGTATTTTGGAGGTACAGTTGTCGGGGAGCAAGCTATGAAATCTGAAGATGAAGTAGGAAGTTTGATAGAGTATGAATTCAGGGTAAGTTGGAGCATTTGGGCCTTTTCTTGAACTAGAACTAACATATCCTAGATGTGGTCTTGAATATGTAATTTTAATAAATAATAATAAATACTCAGTTAAACAATGAGCTTGCCAGTTTTTAAACAGCAAACTGGCTTACAGTAAAAACTTCATCCTCCAGAATGGCAAACAACTGTCACTCACCATAGGCCTTTGGCTCAGAATCCAGTACAGTTTAGTCTTTTTCTTTTTAGAGAGTTTGTTTTTTTGTTTGTTTGGTATGGGGGTGGAGGGATTCAACCCAGGGGCATTTAACCACTGAGCCACATCCCCAGCCCTTTTATATATTTTTTATTTAGAGAAAAGGTCTTACTGAGTTGCTTAGGGCCTAATTAAGTTGCTGAGGTGGTTTTGAACTTGCAGTCCTCCTGCCTCAGCCTCCTGAGTTGACTAGAGAATTTTAATATGTGGTATAAAGTAAAACTTTATTTTCCCCAGAGTCTGTAAAACAAAAACCTCAGCTGGGCATTGTGGCGCATACCTATAATTATAGCAACTTGGGAGGCTGAAGCAGGAGGACAAGTTCAAGACCAGCCCCAGCAATTTATCGAGACCCTAAAGCCTTAGTGAGACCCTGTCTCAAAAAAAAAGTTGGGGCTAGGGATGTGGCTCAAGTGGTAACGCGCTCACCTGGCATGCGAGGGGCGCTGGGTTTGATCCTAAGCACCACATAAAAATAAGATATTGTGTCCACTGAAAACTGAAAAATAAATATTAAAAAAATTCTCTCTCTCTCCTCTCTCTCTCTCTCTCTCTCTCTCTCTCTCTCTCTCTTTAAAAAAAAAAAAAAGTTGAGGGGACATTAAATAAATAAAAGACTGGGGATGTGGCTCTGGTTAAACAACTCTGGGTTCAATCCCTGGTATCCCCCTCCCCGCAAAAAAAGAAAAATCTCAAAAGTAGTTCATCTTATAGAATGTTATAATTTATTTATTCCTCCCTGATCAGGGCATCTTTCTTATTGCTCATGGATGAATGAATGTTAATGTTTGCTTATGTCTTACAAGCCCAATTTTGTGATGGCAAGTTTAGTAGATTTGGCATATGCCAATAAGGAAGGCTAATGGTTATCTCTGAACCATTTCAAAGTAGGCAGTCACTGTGACTGCCATGTCCAGTTACATGAACATAAACACATAATATGAAATCCATTCATGACTCAAACGTGGGTTTTTATCTGTGTGGCTCAAATCACATTCCTGAAAACACAGTGATTGCTGAGGTGAAAGTCTGGAATAGCAAGAATGAGCCCACCCTGGCAGGATGAAGAGAGTGAATTCTCCACTGGTTTCTCTTAGCCTTACATAAATAATTGAGACAGAAACTGGAGGTGCTTATGATCTCCATGCAGGTATGGCTGGGAAAGAAGTCCACAAATGCACACAGGCCTTTACCCTAGGCTTGTTGAGGACATGGCAGATAAACACCACTGATGCTGTTGTAGACAACAGTTGATCCTGGATTAAATTAGCAATCTCTTTGACCTTTTCTCCCCAACTGTTGACACAGTAATGTTTAAGCACAAATCTGCATTTTGCACACCCTATCCATAGTCCATTTTTGGAGCCTTATTATGTTATGACAGATATTTTACCATTTTTTTCCTCTGGCAATAGGAGGTGCTACTTAATTTTACATTGAAAGGATTTCATTGAGATAATGTGTATTATTTTCCAACAGGTGATTAATTTAGGTAAACCTCTTAAAAACCTCGGCTCGGCAACCTTGAATATTCAGTGGCCAAAAGAAATTAGCAATGGCAAATGGTTGCTTTATTTGGTGAAAGTAGAATCCAAAGGATTGGAAAAGATAGTGTGTGAGCCACAAAGTGAAATAAACCTCCTGAACCTAAAGGTATGTTGGTGGGTTTATCTAACATCTCCCTGTTTGTAAATAAAAGAAGCTGACTTTTTAGGGGTAAATCATGACTCTCCTTAAGAAACTAGCATTCTGGCACGTTGACTTTTCTTTGGTTGTCACAATTTCTCTTTTATAGTTTAGAAACCAAATCAGGCTGAGGCATTTTTGCTGACCAGTTACCATTATGGTGTGTAAGGCAGTGCTTATTGGGACAAATGACTTTTTTTTTTTTTTTAAATACAACCCAAAAATGAGATATAAGGAGAATTAGGACATACTCCTGGGGAGTGAACCAGCCAGTATAACCCCAAGGAGGATCATTAGGAACTCATCACCAAAGATACTGGCACCTTAGCAAATGACTTGGAAAGCTTCTTTTTCTTTTTTCTTTTTTTAAAATCAAAACCTGCCCCTCTTTACCCTTCTCTCTCCTGCTGCACACTATTATAACTGGCCTGTTTATGTTCCAGCTTGATGAAGATTGGCATTGTCAATGCTGCCTGTTTCTTTCATTTTAAATTCTTGGGCGACTGGGTGTGATCCATGTTCTTAGTTACAGTGTTTTTAGTGATAGCATACTCCCTTACTCATCAAAACAAAATGGCCCATCATTCCTATTCTTTATTACAGGTTGAATATCCCTAATGCAAAAATTGAAAATCCAAAATGCTCCAAAATCCAAAAAACTCCTCCCAAATCTGAAACACTTCTGGTCTTAAGCATTTTAGATAAAGCAAACCCAGTCTGTATAAGGAAAATCAATTTTAAAAACTTGGCTTAGTTTTTCAGGATCTTTCCTGAATTGATCATATAATGGGTCTTTTTGCTTCTTTTTCTGTTCTTCAGTTTCATGTAGTCATTCCAGATGTGCTGTCTACCATATGTTAGGTACTGAGTTGGGTGCCAGGGATACAGCAACAGGACTGATCCCTGATCTCAGTAGGTACATGGTTTAGTGCCACTTGCTCACATTTTGGTAGGGACACAGGAACAAAGGAAGCATCTTTCTCTTTCCCTGAGTATAAAGGTCACAGTAAGAATAAAACACTTAAATAGTCCTATGAATCTATCAGTGAACTGAAGTCAGGGTGGTCATAACACTGGTTTTACACTTTGATGGGAGAGGGATGAATATTAATTGTTGATTATATGAATTCAGCATTATTTGGGATGTTTGCATAGTAATGATAAACAACTACAGCAAGCGGAATTACTTTGGATATAATTCTTTTTAGGAGTCTCACAACTCAAGAAAAAAGCGGGCAATTGCTGAAAAACAGATTGATGATAGCAGAAAATTTTCTCTATTTGCTGAAAGAAAATACCAGACCCTGGTGAGTGTTTTTCCAGAACTATGAACACAAGACAGAGGATGGGGGAGGGGCTTTCCTGGATGGTGGGTTCTGACCATGTCCTCCTCCTGCTCTAGAACTGTAGTGTGAATGTGAGGTGTGTGAACATCAGGTGTCCTCTGCGTGGGCTGGACAGCAAGGCCTCCCTTGTTTTGCGCTCAAGGTTATGGAACAGCACATTTCTAGAGGTATACCCCTGCCATGAGGTTGTCCCCAGGAAGTCATTTGCCACCACCTAGGACATCTGTCACTTTTTTAATAACGTTCACTGTCTCCCATCAGGAATATTCCAAACTGAACTACTTGGACATTCTTGTGCGAGCTTCTATTGATGTGACTGATGCCGCAGAGAATATCAAGCTGCCAAATGCAGGCACCCAGGTGAGATGCTCCCGGCTATACTCCTGCTTAGAGCCCACAGCCTGAGGTCACGTTCTTTGGTCTTATGTCCCTTATAACCCTGTTACCCATTAAGAGAAAAACAAGATAATCTTAAGGTTCTGCCACCCCACCCTGTATTTGAATAGAATCATTGAAGTAAATCTAGGGTCCACCATTCAGCAGGACCTGTGGCAGATTTGAGAGCTTTGGCTGGTGGGTATACTTGCAGCCCTATAGCAAACCATTCCTGATGCTGCAGCCCTTCTCGGAACCTGTGCCAACTGTGGCCAGTTGTGGTTACTTGCAAAGACCTCGTCATATGAGTCCAAAACTGAATGTTGTTTCAAGGGGCAAAACTAATGCCTTATTTTACAAGTCTAGAATAAATTCTGTATCCCAGCCATCTAACAGCCTTTCCAAGAGTTAAAGGCAACTGTCCTGCCTCCTTGGACAGGTGTCTCTTACTCTGTTTCAGAGAGATGCACCCAGTTCTTCAGTCATGCAGGACACAGCCAGATGGGTTCCTGGCCTTTCCCCTTCCTGGCCCACCCTTGTTGGCAGTGTGATCCCACATGGACAGGGCAGCTGAGCTGCGGTCTACTCTGTTCAGCTTACCCTGGACCTTTACCTCCCAGCACCTCAATACCATGCTTCTGTCAGTCCAGCCTAAAATGTGATTTTTTTATACTTTTGCTGAGGAGTGTATTTGAATTTCTGGCAGCTGCAGTTTTTATGTTGTAGTCTTCTGAAATTTCCAGGTGGTTTCATCAGAATTTGTTGTCAAGTTATGTTTCCTGCAGCTTGTCTCTGAGCAGTTTGAAACAAATCTAAATGCACGTCTTTAGATGTGTATTCACATTTTATGTGATTTGCTTCTGGTCCATTGTTTAAATTTGTAAAGTAATTTTGAATCTTGCTCATTTGCTGTCTCAACTTTCTATCCCTGGAAACTGTCTTTCAAAACTGAGCGGGAGGGCTGGGGTTGTGGGGTAGAGCGCTCGCCTAGACATGCAAGGTATTGGGTTCAGTACTCAGCACCACATAAAAAAATAAATAAATAAAATAAAGGTATTGTGTCCAACTACAAAAAAAAATTTTTTTTTTAAAAACCTGGGCTGGGGTTGTGGCTCAGTGACAGAGCGCATGCCTCACGTATGTGAGGCACTGGATTCGATCCTCTGCATAAAAAAATAAACAAAATAAAGATGTTGTGCCCATGTATAACTAAAAAAAAAAAATTAAAAATAAACTGGCAGGCTGGGTTGTGGCTCAGTGGTAGGGCGCTTGCCTAGCATGTGTGAGGCACTAGGTTTGATTCTCAGCACCGCATATCAATAAATAAAATAAAGGTCCATTGACAACTAAAAATTTTAAAAAACAAACAAAAGAGCAACATGCCTGCTATGTCTTCATTCAGGCAATTAATAAAAATACTGAACAGGGCAAGGAACAGAATTCTGTGGTGAACCACTAGTGAGGGGGGTTCCTTGTCGAGGGTCCAGAATCCACAAGGACTCCAGATAAATGACTACGTGCCAGGGTGGGAATCATGAATGGGAATGCTTTGCAAAAGACTCCAAAAAAAAAAAAGGAAGATTATGAATTGCCACTGTTGCATTTGTCTGCAGGTTTGCTTATGGAAATGCTCTGGCTTTGGTTATTTAGCTAGCTGAAATATTAGTGAGTCTCCCCTGATCATTCTGGCTTCTGAGATATAGTGGATATCCTAATAATTTATCATCCAAACCAGAATGCATTTATATTGGAAAAATGCTAAACTGGGCAGGACACTGGAACAAGTGGTATAAACCAGGGCTGATACAGGTGCACCAGGACGTATGGTTACCTTGGGTTTCAGTTATTTCTGCAAGTTGCTCCAGCCTACCTTTCTGCATCTTGTCATCAATAAGGCATCTTAAAGGACTTTTCAGATAAGCCACACTCCCCCTGAGAATTTTTCATCTGCATCTTTGACCAAGGGCAACTGTTAGTGTCCTGCAACAATCAGCAACTCCAAGAATCACAAAAGTTTAATAACTCTTCCAGTTTTAATAAACTGGAAAAAGGTAAAGACTTTAAGATGGAAGAGACTGACATTAATAAAATGTCCATAACGTACCAGATACTTTATTTGTTTAGACTTCAGAAGAATACCAAGGTAGACATTGTGCTTATTTTACAACAAGGTTGCAGACTCGGAGGATGTAACTTAAGAGTTCTGGATTAAACTCATAAATGATTTCAGGGCTCCTGTCCTTGGACTCTGTAACACTTGGTCACTATTAAGCCCTCAAATCTCAAATTCAGAAAAGAAACAATTGAAGGAAAGTTGTTCCTCCTCTGAGGTCACATGACCAGCAAGTAGAGTGGAGACCAGGTCTCAGGTCTCAAGAGTCTTCAAGGTGATGGAATTGGGGACCTGGTGTCCAGTCTGGATGGTGAGTCATGAGTGAGGAGGAGACTGCCTTGGGAATTTTGTTCTTAGGACTTGGAAGACTCCAATGAGAAGTGGAGTTTTGGCGTGATACTACTTTGTTGAACAATTGGTAGATTTGTAAATGGATTACTAGTCTCTTTTATCTAAAGCCTATTTCTTTTGAAAATTGAGACATTTTTCTCATCTCTAGTCTTCTGATATCTCCCCTATTTTCTGTGATTTCTGAGATACAATAGCTCAGATATCATGCCTATACTTTTCTTTAGTATTTTAAGGTGCAGTTTTGGGGCCTGAAGATTTGAGCTTAATTCAAGTGTCAGACTGTACTTCCTTCTTTATTCCCTTACTTATTATGGGATGCAGTTTCATCTTCATCTTGGTTTCATCTCTCCTTTCTAGTCTGAAGATTATTTTCTTTGGAGATAAGCATAAAAGGTGGTATATTTGGTCTTCTTTTTGACATTAACATCAAAACAATTTCTCACTGCTTTTATTCTAATGCTATTTTAAAAAGTAATAAGAAAAAGCCTTTTCTTTATTACCCAAAATGTTTCAATAAAACATTTTTATTTTTATGTTAGTACTGTCATAACAGAATCAGAGCCAAAATTACACAGTTGAACTAGATAAGATGGTTCCATATTAACAACTAAATTAAGTCCATGCAGTTAAGCACCTGTTAAGGACACATGTGCCTTCTCTGGGCTGCATCCTAGAAGCAAAATTGAATAAGATACAGAGTCCAGGATTTCATGATCCAGATGATCGAACCAGGAGAAAATTGTTGAAGCAGACCAAGGAAGGAGGGATTGTTTGTTAAGGGTGTGTGTATTTCCACTTCATTCCTAAGGAAGTAGTAGAGAGTATCAGAGCTTCCTGGCTGCCAAATATAACAGAAAATATTATAAGTAAAAGTAAGTACCCCCAGCCAGGCGTGGTGGTACATGCCTATAATCCTGGTGGCTCAGGAGGCTGAGGAGGAGGATTGTGAGTTCAAAGCCAGCCTCAGCAACTTATCAAGGAGCTAAGCAACTTAGCAAGATCCTGTCTCTAAATAAAATATAAAAAAGGGCTAGGGATGTGGGTCAGTGGTTAAGTGCACCTGGGTTCAATCCCTGATACCTAATAATAATAAATAATAATAGTAAGTACTCCATTCTTCATGAGAATGAGATTTCCTTTTTTGCTTTTAAGTTTAGAGAAGACCTTGAGATATATATCTTTTATATATATATATATATACACATATATTTTTTTTTAGTAGATGGACACAATACCTTTATTTTATTTATTTATTTTATGTGGATCAAACCCAGTGACTCACACATGCTAGGCAAGTACTCTACCACTGAACCACAATCTCAGCCCTGAGATATACCTTTTATAAGATGGGTTCTTATATGAGGAACATTCACTAAGAGTGGATAGTATCTTTAATAGAGAGCCTTATAAAAGATAGAAAATCCCTTCACCAGGTGATTTCTTGTTCTGATGTTCAATAAGAATTGAGAGCATTACATTATAGAGTAATTCAGCAAAAGTATTTTGGCAGTTGGCAAGCTAGTGTAGTCTTTGCACTGCTCACTAGTGTGGAATATAAAGTATCAATAGGGCTTGAGCCCTTTCCCCTTATGGATAAGGTTCACATGTGTAGGTCACCCTAGTGGAAATGCATACATTTTAATGACACCGAAGCGGAGAAGTTGTTTTTGGAGACATCACACTCTATAGTAACTTCTACTTGCCTTAAGCTATCCTTGTTCATTAGTAACAATTACAGTGACAAAACAAAATTTCTCAGAGCTGGGGATCATAGCCCATAGTTGGTCTCCCCTTAACTTAGTCCTGCAGCCAGCTCCCCACATCTTCCCATTCCCAGCTGGGGTGACTATCATGCCAAAAAAATCCCTTCAGTTGACAAAGTAAACAAACGATACCGGGCCTCTCACCTTCCCTGTTCCAAATCACATCTGTCCTTTAAATGTGTAGCTAGCCCAGGTCCTGACTTGAATCTTCACTCTTTGATACCCAGAGAAATGTTTTGTTTTGTTTTTATAATATTTAAAGTCTCTCAGTTCTGGTTGGAATAATGGCTAGACCTGGGCTTAGTGATTCTGCTGGATCTCGGCCCAGGCTACAAAACCAAAAATTATCTTGTTTAACCCTATTGGACAGCAGCCATTGATGGACATGGTTTCTCCCATCCTGGGATGTTTTAAAGGCACTGGTACACAATGTAATTATCATAGGCTGATGCCCTTGCCACAGACCTATCCCCACTATCCACTTCAGATTTATGAGAATTTATTCTTATAAATGAGACTATCCATTGATCATCTTGCCCCAAGGACACACTGTGTCTTCCCTGTGCTAGGTACTTACGGAGCGAGGTTAAATAAGGTCCAGCCTAGGCTGGTGGAAGTCATTGTTTTGTTGTAGTTGGCTTACAGCCTTACCAGTATATTTTACCAATATATACTAAATTAAGTCCATGCAGTTAAGCACCTGTTAAGGACACATCTGCCTTCTCTGTGCTGCATCCTAGAAGCAAAATTGAAAAAGATACAGTAAAGGATTTCATGATCTGGGTGATTAAACCAGGAGAGAATTATTGAAGCAGGCTAAGGAAGGAGGGATTGTTTGTTAGTGGGGTGTGTATTTCCACTTTATTCCTAAGGAAGTAGGTAGAGAATATCAAAGCTTCCTGGCTGCCAAATATAACAGAAAATATGATAAGTAAAAGTAAGTACCCCCATTTCTTCTTTCTTCCCTGTATTGATGCCCCTGACCTGGACCCAGCAATCTCAAAAAAGGGTTGTTTGGGCTTAAAGCCGGACACCTATGAGATGAGGGGAGGGGACATAAGAGCCATGATGTGACCTTGGATCTGGAAGCTTGGGGGAAAATTCATTCAGGGCACACCAGGAAAAATGGCAGCTCGTGAATGTGTTATGCCTATTGTAGACTGTTGACTGCAAACTCCTGTAACCTCCTGTTTAACCTCCTGTTTAACCTGATGTAACCTCCTGTTTATTAAGTGCTTAAAAGCAGTTCTACTTTTTTACTTATTTTCTGTAAGTCACATGAGGTTGATGAACTGTTTTCTAGGGGAAGTGGGAAAAGAAGTACTTTAATGAAGAGGTTTTAAAAAATGAGTTATAGTACACTATAGAAATATTGTAGCCCAGTGTAGACATAATTACACGTTCAAGCAGTATTCAGGGTTGAAGCCTGTGTCTTTCAAGTTAAGTACTCCCTGGAGTTTTGTTTACCCTTTGCTTTATAGTCTCTTAGTTTGGAAACTTTTAAGCCAGCAGCTCTCTAATCATTGTAGCAATCACAGTCTTTTCTAGGCTTTGAAAAATCGTGCTTGGCATCACAAAAATCCGTTTGGATTCTACTGGACTTCCTTTAGACAGAGTGGACAAATGTGAATGAGCACATCTGAGTGGTTGCAAAATTGCCAAAAACAACTCTTTAGGTTTCTGGATAAACACTATGTTTATTTTTATAAGTGTTTGCCAACTCTCAAATGTTCGGAGATTAAGCCAGGTATGGTGACGCAGCCCTCAGTAAACTAAGGCAGGAGGATTGTAAATGCAAGACCAGCCTCAGCAACTTAGCGAGACCCTGTCTCAAAATAAAATATAAAAAGGTCTGAGGATGTAGCTCAGTGGTAGAGCTCCCCTGGGTTCAATCCACAGTACTACCAAAAAACGAAAAAGAAATAAAAAGTTGAGTTTAAACTGCTTCAGAATGAATCTAGGGTCTAGCTTGTTCACACAGTTTTGTAGCCATTTCAGGAAATCGTATTGTTTATAAGGCCTTTCATTTCAATATCATAGGAAAAAGATAAAATGCTGTCTATTATTCATGCAGTTCCATCTCTATTTGTATTTTATATCTTTAAAATCTGAGGCTTGTATGTTAATTGTGTGAAAACTGGCCCTTTTATTTTCCTTGCCAAAAGGTAACTAAAAGAAAGTGTGAACCTGCTCACCTGTAATTCAAGGGATTTGGGAGGCCAAGACAATTCAAAGCCAACCTCAGCAATTTATCGAGGTTTCAAAATAAAAAATTCAAAAAGGGCTGGGAATGTGGCTCAGGGGTTAAGCATCCCAGGGTTCAGTCTTGGGTACTTAAAAAAAAAAAATGTGATCTTTTTCAAAAGGGTACCAAGTTAAGATCTGGAGATGTAGCTCAGTGTCAGAGTACTTGCCTAGCAAATGGAAGGTTCTGTACCTAGCCAGACCAAAAAAAAAAAAAAAAGATACTAGGTTATATAGTTGAAAGAAGATTGGCTGTTTATTGATAATTGTTAAAACAGGGCAATGAATACATGATGGTTCATTTTAGTTTCTCTACCTTTGCTTAAAAAAACATTTTTTAAAAAAGATAAGTTGGCAAAGAAATAACTACTTTGTTAGAGCATAGCCCAGCCTTTTCCAGTCCCTGGGAAAAGATCTTCAGGGAATATCTCTTGGAGCACTGTGATTTCACTACATTAAGAAAAAGGATCTTCACCAGAAAGTCAACTTATCTGTCCATAGACTGTTGTTCAAAATATGTTCAGAATCAGAAGTAGAACTATAGACCCCTGGCATTAACCCACACCCCAATTTACAGCAGTTTGCTTTCTTTTATACACTATAGGTTCGTGTGACTGTGTTTCCCTCAAAAACTGCAGCTCAGTACTCCGGAGTACCTTGGTGGATCATTCTCGTTGCTATTCTTGCTGGGATTTTGATGCTTGCTCTATTAGTGTTTTTACTATGGAAGGTAAGTCATATCTAGCATTTGAGTTTCATGATACAAACTATTTCACATTTTAAAAAGGGTGAATTAATATCAGAGTATGGCTTATTTTTCTCTTTCATTGCTTCCTTTTTTCCCAACATTTTATGATGAAATTTTTCCAACATATAGTAAATTTGAGAGGATTTTACAATGACTAGCACACAAGAAGATTCTCAAATAATACATTTTGTTGTCTCATGCATATAATTTAGCATATTTGGCAAATAACAAATTTAAATTTTACTACTTTAGCATTTTCTTTACATAAAATCAAAGTCTGGATCTAAGATAAATTATTGGATATAAGATTAATCTGATTTTGTATTCCAGCTAGTTTCAACTTTTATTTAAAAAAAAAAAAAAAATTCAAGGCAGCCATTGGCGTTGGTTACATTTGCAGCTAGAGTACAAATAGAAAACATGAAATGAATGCATTGTAATGTCATGTGTAGCTAATAAAAAAATTAAATTAAATTTAAAAAAAAGAAAACATGAAATGAATGAATAGCACCATCTCAAAGGGGTTCATCATAGCCTACATCAAACATAAGCGAGGTCTGGGCTCAATGTGATGCTCATTAGAATTTGGTCTCTTGACTATATATGATACATATGATATCGTCCCTCTTTCTCCCCACCAGTAAACAATCTATATCATGAAAAGGGCATATGACTTGGATACAAACCAACCTATAGATTTTGTATTATTCCCAGTGAATATCAAAGGTCTCTAGTACCTTATCTGTGATTCCAAGAAAGGTTTTTAAGGATTGATTTACCAGAAAACCTGACATGATATGAAGAAAAGCCATGTATAGTCTTTGTCCTTTATTCATCAGTTTTACTGCAGAAATATTAATATTTTTATTACAGTGGCATTATGTATGCAGCATGGTGCATTTCTAAAATGCCCCATATTCTGGATTCCTAAACACATCTGGTCTGGAGAGTTTTGGCTGAACTAATCACCTTCTAGAATCAAAGGGTTCCTTTTCCTTTCCTTGACTCAAAAATATAAATGGACAAGGTTTCAAGGATTTGTTTACTTTCAAATGTCAGGCATCTCTCTTTTGCTCTATTCTTCCAAGTAACTTACTGGTTCAGCCTAAGATAATTTTCTAAGGTGCTCTTAACATGTGATTGATGCCACTTATCAGTTCATACCAAGACTCCTATTGATGGGACTTTAGCTAGTTTTATCCCTGATGTTTACCTCAGGCAGTATGTTTCTCTAGCACGCATAGCCAGCCCATGTAGGAGTTGCCATGACAATTATTATTATCTCAGAAACTAAATTTGGGGTTTGGTGTGGGCTTATGTTTTTTTTGAGGAGGTCACAAGGACAATCTTCAGAGCAGATCTTATTGGCAGTCTTTAATCCTCACTGAGACAAAGCAGTGGGTTGAGGGTTAAGAGACCATGCTCTGTGATTATAATCCTGGGCAAATAATTTCACCTCCCTGGGGCTCTGATTTGCCTCAGCTGTTTAATAAGCAGATTGGACTTTGGTGATTTCATTGGGTTTTTTGTTTGTTTGTTTGTTTTGTTTTTTGTTTTAAGCTCTGAAGTATCCAGACCCTCAAGGGGACTCTATCAGATAATTTCTCTAATCCCCACATGAAAGTAATTCTTATTACTTTATATTCTTTCTGAAACTAAATTATTTATTTTTAAGGCCATAGAATATTATGGTCCGAAAAGATTCTGGTTCAGTGGTCTTTAAATTTGAGTTTTGTACCTCTGCATGGGTGGCACAACTAAACTAAGCAGATAGAGACCTCTACTTTAAACAGAGAAGTTCTACTTTTATCTGCTTTGCCTAGGATTTTGCTAGAATGTAAAAGTCTTCAGCTGATCCATTCACTTTCATTTTTTAGATCAGGGATATTAAGAATGTTGCTGCTGGCTGTGGTGGCATATACCTGTAATCCCAGAGACTCAGGAGGCCACAGTGGGAGGATCACAAGTTTAAGGCCAGCCTCAGAAACTTAATGAGACACTGTCTCAAATTTAAATAAAAATAAAAAGCACTGGGGAAGTAGCTAAGTGGTAAAGTATCCCTGGATTCAATCCAATCCCCAAATACCTTCTCTCCCCCACCCTGCACTTCCGCCAAAAAATATGTTGATATGTTGGAGGCAGGACCCAGGACTCTTGGATCCTGGTTCATTCTTCCTACTCGTTATCTATCTACTAGTACTTATTGAAAGTTGGCTGGGTGTGTTCACTGTCTATTGCATTGGATGTCATAGATAAATCTCAAGTAGTCTAGTTCAACAGTGCCCAACACATCTTTCTTTAGTAATGGAAATGTTCTGGAATGACACTGTCCAGTATGGTAGATAAGAGTCACATGTGGCCATTGAGCACTTGTAATATGGCTATTGTGACAGAATTACTGAATGTTAAATTTGAATAGTCACATGTAGTTAGTAGCTGTCATATCATGCAAAATGGATCTAGATTTTTACTTTCACTAGTTGGCAGAATTTTCCAGGAAAGATTTGTTCAGCCAAGTTTATTCCAAAGAGCAGTTCCATGACCTTATGAACTAGATAAAAATAAACAGAAAAAAGTTCTCCATTCTTGAATGAAGGAAATTATAGTAGAAAGTGGAATTATACTTTTATACTTATTTAGAGTGTCCTAACCTGAGGAACACAGATTCCTACCATTTAAGGGTTATGTGGTGGTTCAGAATTTGGGAAAATGATAGCAATCATGCTTTCATGACAGTGTATTCGAATTTGTATTGCGATTCACCCCACAGATCCAAAGGTCTTAAGTAAATGGAATTTGTTCCGTAAAATTTACTGCAAAAGGCAGAAAAGTACAGTATGTCTATATTTTATTTGGATTTGTGCTAAGTTTTACTTAGGGAATTTAGTTTCTAACCTTTGTCTCAATAGACTGTAAAAGTCACTCTTTTGCCCTTTTGGATTCTATTCTGTGAGAAGAAATCAGCCAAAACTACAATCAAACATGCATAGATTTTTCCTTTTTAGAATGATTTTTGTCCTTAGGATTTTGTCTACAAATAAAAAAAAAAAATTAGTGGATTAGCATCTCCATGTAACCATTTGACCAGAGACCCTCAATAATAGCATGTGTTGAACGCTGTCCCAGGATAATATATGCAGTGGCAGCTCACTTCTGGTTGACCAGGTCTCTGGCAAGGGGCCATAAATAGAAAGCAGGTTAAAATCTGAGATGTTCTTTTGTTTAGCTCTTCTCTTATCCACAAAGCTGTAAAATTGACTAAATACCTTGCTTCCTTATAGTGTGGTTTCTTCAAGAGAAATAAGAAAGATCATTATGATGCCACATATCACAAGGCTGAGATCCATGCTCAGCCGTCTGATAAAGAGAGGCTTACTTCTGATGCATAGTATTGATCTACTTCTGTAATTGGTAATTGATCAATGTTTTTTAATTGCTAGCTGTGGGACCTGCTTATGGTTGTGGTGGCTAACTTTAAGAGCGACAGCTTGCTATGTGTTCCATTAACAGATGTTTCCAAATGTCCACACTGGCTTGCCTTGCTTGGATTTATTTTATTTATGTCACTTGAAAATACACAGGTTTGTTTTTTGTTTGTTTGTTTCAATGCACAAAGAATCTTTTTTTGCAGGTGAGTTATTTTGTGTTCTTGTTAAACATCACCCACAGCAATGAAGAAAATCGCAACCTTTGCACACATAAAAGGAGGTTTTAGACCTCCATAGTAGCCCAGTTTGCCCCGTGCTGTTAATCCAGTGTGTAGCATCCCACTCGGAATTTCAAAGGTGCATAAGAAGTCTCTCAGATTTCTTGTTCATTTTGGAATTTCCCAGGGATAGAAGCTTGTGTTGACTGCCTAATTAACCTGTTGCATGTTGGAAACTTTGTGTTTCTCTTGACAAAGAGGTTTCCTCTTTTTGTTCTCCTTGCTATGAAATGATGGGGCAGGCTTGGAATGCTTTTTATGGTTGCTTGGAAATCATTTTATGCTACCTAAGCATGCAACTTCCTTTCCCTGCATATCTCCTTCAGGCCAAAGACCATTACAACAAAGAGTGACTGTCAGCCTTATGGGCTTTATGATCAACTTCAGAAAAATAGTCATCTGCCAAAGTAACTTTCTATATACAAAATTCCAGTACAAAAAAGTTCTGGGTAGTTTTTATTTCATTATGTTGTAATGGAGTTTGACCATGTTTCATGCTTGTAGAGATTTTATTCTGCCTTGAGTCTCAGTTAATTTTAATTCATGTTTTGCTTCTCTGGTTTGAAAAGCCATGGAAGGAGGAATTTTGGGTGATTCCTTTTTCCATTTCTATGGACACAAAAAGAAAGAATGATTCCTGAATTCCTTCATGTGGCACTGTCACAATGAATTCCCAGCATTGCTCTTTTGACTTTACATTTTATCCTTAATTTACTTTTTAAAAATGGAATAGGCAACAGTTTCATTTTGTGATAAATATACTGACTTTTTTTTTGCACAGAATACTAAACAAGTCCATGTAGAAATGACTAGAATAAATCTCATGGTTCATAGGCATATGATTTTGTCTTGCCCTGACATTTTTATAATATAACATTCTTCAACATAAATGTTCTATTCCTGTTGCCATCATGTAATAAACACATTAATCAACCATTCTAAGTTATCTTCTTCATCCTTCTAAGCTGCATTTTTAACTTGAAAACATACCTTCAAAAAAACCCCCACATTTTTATGCATTAAAAATTCAATCTGATTCAAAAATATTCAGGTATATTCTCCACATACTTTGGATCAGAATGAATTTTTTAAAGTGAATAAAATATCTATTCATTACCAATTTGAATGTAAATGCTGTCTTTTTGCAAAAGAAGAAGAAAAATTAGGGAATGCTCCAAAATTCAAACTCCATTACTTTTCTTAAGTCCTGTGTGGTACACGATTGATTTTATTGCAGTACACTATTACTTCATGATTTACTGTGGTAACATCTTAATTGGAAACAACAGCAAATCCAGGTGATATAAAATACCTTCTAGCTAATGAGAAATGTGATGTGTACTGAAGCCTCAGTGGACAGGAAAAGACTCTTAAATTGACCCATTGGAACACAATATTTTCAAATTTGTAAAGTATTTGTGACCTGGTTTCCACCTAACTAGTGGGAGAAGGGCATGAAATAATTTTTGTTTTATGTCTATTAAAAATCACTCTAAAAAATTGTTTTTCAAGTCATTTAGTAATCTGAAATTTGGATATTTTACAAATATCATGATTTTTTTTTTTTTTTAATAGAAGCATGCTTTCACAAACTCTTAAATTGTTAGTCAAGAGATAACTTACAGCTGGGTGCACTGGCGCACACCTCTAATCCTAGCAACTCAGGAGGCTGAGGCAGGAGGATCGAAAGTTCAAGGCCTGTCTGGGCAATTTATCGATACACTATCTCAAAAAAATTTTTTTAAAGGCTGGGGATATAGCTCAGGGGTAAAGCACCCTTGGGTTCAATTCCCAGTATGGAGGAAAGGAAAAAAACCTACATTGTTGTACAATGAAAAGACCAGATAAAAAATGGACTTTTCTTTGAGTTTTAGGGCTGTTCTCTTGTTTCCACTGGCTGCTATTTCTTTTCAACCTACCAGTGCTTTCTTGAAAGAAGATAGTGTCTTTTTTTCCCCTTAATCCAAAGGTAGATACAGATGAACAGAAAGCTTAGGCCGTTCCAATTTGATGTAGTTGGTTTTCTTGAGACTAATTAATTTGTGTCTGTTTTTCTCTCCCCCTTCTCCAGTGTGGATTCTTTAAGCGCTCTAGGTACGATGATAGCGTTCCCCGATACCATGCTGTAAGGATCCGTAAAGAAGAGCGAGAGATCAAAGATGAAAAATACAATGATAACCTTGAAAAAAAACAGTGGGTCACAAAGTGGAATGAAAATGAAAGTTATTCCTAGGGGACCAGAAAAGCTTCACAGTACCCAAAATGCTTTTTGGTTTATTTGTTGTTGTTTTTTTCCCAACTCAAATACAAATGGATTTAAGAGCCTGTTCAGTACCTGAGGATTAATTTCAGACTGACTACACACAGTACGAACCTACAGTTTTCACTGTGGATATTGTTACACAGCCTAAAGCTTCTGTTTTGCACAGCCAAATTTAAGACTATTGAAATGGATCTTTCTTTAACTGCCTTAATTTAACTTTCTGGGTTGCCTTTGTTTTTGGTGTGACTGACCCACACGCTCTGGGGACGGGCCTGCCCAGGTGCACTCAGGCAACATCCTCCTGGTAGCACCCACATTCACCTGTGCTAACAGAATGGCCGTCCTAGCCTGCTGCTGTGAGCATCCTTCCTGTAGGATCAGAGAACCTGCAAGTTAAGTGTCCTGCAGCACAAGACTCTGCCATCAAGGCAGCTGTGTCTCAGTTTCAAGTGCTGTCTAAAGTTAAGTGTGCAATAGAAGGTGATGTTGCCATCCTACTCTCTCTGTCCATTCCCTAGATGTGACTCCTTGCTCACACCAAGTGCACACAGGTTCCCTTCTCCCTTTTCACTAAAACACACAGGTGCAACAGACTTGAATGCTAGTGATACTTGTTTGTATGTGATATTTATTTTTTTCTTTAAACCATTTTGTTATTGACTAACAAGCCAAAGATCCTTCAGGTTGATTTAAACAATCAGAATTGGAACATGGGAGATCATTGATTGACCCAAGTTATTTCTTGCAAAAAGAAAATAATCCTTTATAAAATATACCAGAGAGTTGTTTTAATAACTTATCTGTAAATTATGACATCTCCTTCATGACAGCTTCTCCCCCGCAACACAAAAAGTTTAAGAAAAAACAATCAAGATGTTTGATGTAACAAAGATGTTTAATTCTTACCTGACACCTGATATTATTATTATTTTTAGTTTAGAGCCCTGTGTGATATTTCTGAATTTAGTGCTATAACTTTCAGGAACTTTGTGGAGAAAATGAGTTTGTTCATTGAACTCTAGGGCTTGTTTACTCACTGCTGCAAATACTGTATATTCAGGACTTGAACTAATCGGTGAGTGCCTATGGTGGATCCAGACCGATCCAGTGTAAGACTACTGAATGAGTATCTGCTACCCAAATGGTGACCCAGTCAGATGGAACATCATGGCTGTAAGCTTTTTAAATGTTATTGGAACCATTTAATTAGTGAGTCGGTGTTCTATATTTAGTGTCCTTCCCTATCAAAATTTCCAAGATGACTTTGGAACTATTTTAAGAAGATCTTCAGATTGTTTAATTGTAAAAGCTGGCTGGGGTGGGAAGGAAAGACAGCAATGACTCTAGACATTCAATAGAGATTGAATATATATGAAAGTGGAATTTTAAACAAAATTCTCTGCTTTAAAATGTTAAAGTTATATGGGGAGCAAGAGCAAACAGGTGCTAATTCATTTGGCGATAGCATAAGCAGTGTTTCAATCTTTTAAGAGAACAAAATACAGCTATATATGCCATTGTTGCTTTGGAGTTTTAATTTTTTTTTTCATAAATATTGTACCCTGAAGATACTAAGAACTTTATTCTGGTTGTACTTGGAATTTTCATTCATAAAAATTTTATAAATGATGTTTTATTTACAAAAATTTCTCTAAAACAGATCATAACAGTGTTTTAAGTCTCAGTTTCTTATTTGGATAACATGGAGCCTAATAGACACATTGGCTTTATAGGATATTAATCCAATATTTTGACGGAGTTTTTAAACATTGTTATGAAAATGAATGTCCTAAAAAGAAGGGTGGGAGGGTAGTTCAAAAACAAAACAAGAATGTTTGTGGTGTTTAAATTTATAGTTGTTAAAAATGTCATCTCAAGTCAAGTCACTGGTCTGTTTGCATTTGATACGTTTTTATACTAACTATCATTGTAAAATTATTTCATGATTAGAAAATACCTGTGGATATTTGTATAAAAGTGTGAAATAAATTTTTTATGAAAATGTTCATTCCTTAGTGACACAACATTATATTGTGAAACAACTTCATAAATGACAATTTGAATTCCCTTTCTTATTTCATCAAGCCAAACTAAAGTTTTTGATATTTATTCTTAAGAGCCCAAATAATCCCAGATCAGCCAAAAATACTAGTACCCAAAGGAGTGCAATGTAAATTTGATTGAGGGTTTTTTTTTTTTTAAATCCTCTTGAAACTGTTTTTGATGTTTTAAATTTCCTTTTTTTTTTTTTTATAAGTTACAGAAAATGGCCTTATAGTGGTTTGTTCAAGATACCTATAAATGGCAAGTTTGCATTGATTGATCTGCTTCAAAGGCTATGGCTGTGAAGGATAAGGTATTACTCAGTAATGAGACCATGGCATAAAAAATAAAAGTTCTTATGGCTTGAGTCACTTGCTTTCTAGAATGCATGTGGGATGTGGCATGTCATTATATTAGTCACCAGAACTGGTTTGGCAAAATAGTCAGAAAATATGTTCTTTGCCCGAACATTTAATTTAGAGGACTTCCATAAAATTGCTTACAATTTTTAGGGATAGGACCAAGCCTTTTACTTAAATGAAAACATCTTAATGAGACACTAACCTATGAAAGGATGTTGTGGAGGACCAAGTTGGAATGAGAGTTTAGTTTTAAAGAAGGGAAAAGTACAATGCTGTAGGTGGTTGGATTCTGCATGTGTACATCTTCAGGGCTGAGAAAACAAATGCAGAAGAATTTTGTCAGCTTGCATAGCATAAAATGAATGACTAAGGCAGTTCCTCAAGATCAAAGGATGGGGCTGACCACTTTTATTGAAGAAAAGGGGAGGTTCAAAGAAGTGAAGAAAATGAACTTCAGAATGACCTCAAAAGAGTGGCTATTGCAAAGCTAATGGGGCACCTGTTCTTATAGGTCAAGGTCGCTGTCAAGTATGCATTTTCTCTTATACCTTAAAATTCAGATTTTGCCAGTCTGGGAAAGGCATTTCATCTAGCTGTTAGAACTAGGGACTGCTCTTTATTAGGAGTTGAAGCCATGTCTGCAGAGTATAACCAGAAGACTTTATTTAGTCGGAAAGTCATAAAGGCACGCATGGTCAAATCCTCAAAGGATAAACTAAAAAACTAGAGCAAGAAAATTGGTCCAGCCCTGTGCAAGGGAGGGCCAGGCACCACAGAGCGCAAATCTAACCAGGTAATGGTTGATGATTACACTGGAGTGAGGGAGTCAAGTGCAATTTTTGTAGCTGTCAGCCAAGCTTAAGTGCCTCAATCTTTTGCCCTTGCCCAGGACCATCTCAATTATGCTGCTTGTTCCAGGACATGGAAACAGACCCATGTTAGGAGAGATCAGGTAATTTCTCACTATTCAACCTGGACCACCTCCCCCAGATCTCAAAACTATAGGGTTAGAGTGTGGTACTTGAATTATCTTAAAGCCTATTAGGTAAGAATTCAACTTGCAAATAACCAGTGGATTTAAGTAGATGGTCTGTCATTGTGAGATGTGGTTTGATCATTTTCCAATTGGAAGTTAAAAAGAAACAAACCCTAGGGATATTAAATTAAGTTCTGGGGATACATATACTAATAAGACACTACCTCTGACAATTTATAGGAAGCTTATAATCTAAAATAACATTGTATTGACAAGCATAAGTGACTTCACTTTATAGGTTGCAGAATTAAAAACCTTGAATCTAGATATTAATGGTTATATATAAGACAATCTGATACTTTGGGGGTGAAACTTGACCCTAGAAAATTCCTTTTTACATAACATTTGAAGTAGACCTTCTCAACCTGGGCTACACATTTGAATCACCTAAGGAACATTTTTTTACCCCCCAAGTCCTGATGCCCAGAATTCTGTCTACACTGACCGTATCAGAATCTTGGAGGGTAAGTCCCAGACTTTAGTACTGCTTGAAGCTCCCAGATGACACAAAGTGCAGTCATGAGACCTGCTTTAGATCATTGGATGGCCTGTGTATTAAAAGGGCTCTGCCCACCAAATGCCTCATCTCTGTGGTTCTCCCACTGCATCAGTAATAGGAGCTAAGTAGCTAGAGGTGCTTTTGCCATCCAGACATGATTGACAACACAGAAAAGCATGAAGCGTGTTGGAAAATGTTAGCTTCACCTCTAAGGATATAAGCTGGGGGAAGTTATTCAAATCTTTGGTCCCATTCTCTTCATCTGTAAAATATGGTTGATAATCTCTTTCATAGTTTCTTGTAGGTAGTAAATGAGAAAATTTGAAAGTGCTCATTAAATGTTACCTACTTTTACATGTTGATGTAGAATCATAAAATGTTAAGGAGCATGGAAATCTAGATCTATTTCCTCCTCTCACAGATAAACAGTTAATTTTTGTTGTCATTGGAACTTTATCTCCTCATCTGTCAATATGTCAACCCATGATTTAGTAGTAGGTGTTGAAATTACAATCTGCAAGCCCAAATGTCTTCCCGCAAGCTAAAAATATACACCATAACACAGGTGCCATGGTGCACAAGGTGACACATGCCTGTAGTCCTAGTCACTTAAGAGGCTGAGGCAGGAGCATCTCGAGCCCAGGAGTTCATAACCAACCTAGGCAACACAGTGTGACCCAACTTTTAAATTTAAGGTACTCAATAGCATGGGTCAGTTTGAACAAGACCTATCTTATTTCTTTGTTAGACACACACTCCTTAAGACCATGACCATAATATGGATTATGATCAGGTAGATTGGGATCAGGTAACTCATAGCCGGTATGTTACAATCATCAAGTAGGTATCTAGACATTGCTATGTACTGATTCTTCTTAATTTTTCCCCCTCCTGAAATGGAAGAATATTAAACAGCAGATTTTTCTTTTGGATATTTTCTTGGAGTTATTTTCACACTTTCAGTTACTTGATTTCCTCTAGTGGGAAGACAGGCTGCAGTTTCCTTTGCTGGGCAGAAGATGAAATGTTCACAGTACCCATCTCACACTTAAGTTACATCATATATGTTAGACCAGATAGAAAAATTCCATGCCTAGCTCCCACATCCCAAAATGCATTGATTCAAAGACCTGTTAACTGCTATTATAATGCAATTTTTTCCCCCTCCAGGAAGACTTGGGGAATGTTTGATTCCAAGGTGTCACCAAATTGCTGGTGGAACTGAAGTTCAGGATTCTTACCTGAGGAAACTAAGGGTAGTTAGGAAGTCTCAACAGAGTGGTTAAAAACAGTCCTTAGGGGTTGTGGTTGTGGCTCAGCCGTAGAATACTCACCTAGCACATGCAAAGTCCTGGGTTCAATCCTCAGCACCACATAAAAATGAATAAAATAAAGGTATTGTGTGCAACTACGACTAAACTATATATATATAGAACAGTCCTTAAGATTTTAACATGCTAAGAATGAGCTGAGGATGTTGTTCAGGTGCAAGTTTGTTTTTTAGGCAATCTGGGATGGGGCTCAGAGCCTCCTATTTTAACAGGTGCCAAGGCCTGGGTTGCTGCTGGCCCATGGATCACATTTCAGGCATCAAGGATCTCTGCAGCCAGGTCTTCATTCAAGTCCCTCTGTGCCACTTTCTACTTGTATGTCCCAGGCAAGTTTAAATAGCTGTTGCCTTAGTATCCTCATGTGTAAAATGGTATGTGAAATCAATAGGATATAACTTGGGCCACTGGGGTTATCCTACCTACCTCTGTGCAATTTCCTAACTCCTAACTCCTCCAATGTGTGGATAAAGAACATTGGGAGGCACACAGTAGTCTTTGTTGTGTCTGAGTTTGACAAGATAGGTGAGACATTTGTCTTAAGCTACCCTTGTGGGCCATGCCATCAAGATACCCCATGAGAGGCAGAGTGACATTACAGCTGCATAGGGAACCATGTGCCAGTCCTGGTAGCTGACCCACAGAAGCAGTGTTCTGTTGATCTAGTTACAGTGACTCCTCTAAATCAGCAGTAAGACTGAAGTAAAGCTCTGGCTGGCTCAAAAAGCTGAGCTTTTGTAAGTTGATATTTCCTTTCCCAAGTGGCAACTTGTAGTTTTCCGCAATGAATAACCCAATGACTTTGTATCCTTCTCTTTGTAATGTTGAGCACTTTCTGAGATAATAACTGTATTTATTATTTGTCTCTTCCCCTTAGAAGTCTTGTGAGAACAGGGACCTGGATTCCTAAGTGCCTAACATGGTGTCTGCCCAGCGCATAGCATGTTCTAAGAAAATTATTGAACAAATGAACTCCAGAAAAATAACTAAGAACTTAAGACATGAAATGGAAGAAATAAAGGAAAATCTGTGCTGAAACTAGACATTGAACTACCCGATGCATATGTAGGGAAAAAATATTAGTTGAAATAGATACCTGTTAAAAGAACAGATTAATAAAAGAAAAAACAAGTTTTATTAATATGTATAATTCATGTACATGAGAAACCCTGGGAAAATGAATAGTTCCTTAGAGGTAACTTTGAATTACAGTTTATACAGCATCTTCAACAAAGAACAGTGAATTGTAGTGACAGAGGAAAAGCACTTTGAGTCTAGAGACAGCAAATGAATGGCAGATAAAGGCTAATGAAACTTGTAAATATAAATTCCTCTGGAACCATCTCCAGGCTGTTAAGTATCTAAAGTTGGCTTTAATGGTTAACCTTTGTTCTCCCTGGGAAAGAGTAGGAAACCCTGTCTTTCGAAATCCATGCCCTGTTTTTAGATCAATATACGGAGGGTGGAGAGCTCTCTTGGATCTTTCATTTGGTCTTCAGTTCAACAAATCTATACTTTTGGGGGAAGTGCATTCTGGTCTTGCACACATATGTAATTCAGACCTTGCCAGAAGATTTCTTAACCCTCGGGCTTAAGTTCAAATCACTATTAAAATAATTAATTGGAGGTCATTATATGTAAGGGGCCCCAGGGCTTTGGGTTTCTACATAAGCAAACTAAAGCCCAACCCAGTATAAACCAAGCAGACTGCAAAATAATCTCAACTGAGATCCTTCCACTGGAATGATCCAGATAAGCCTGTTGATCCAGCGTCAGTCATCTTCTTGCCTTCCCTTCATGCCCCTTCATTAGAACCAGGAACCCCGTGCAGACCAGAGTTGCCCAAAGCATGAATTGCTTCTGTCTGTCTGTTCAAGATCTTTAATTTTTTTTTATATATTTTTTTAGTTGTAGTTGGAGACAATATTTTATTTATTTATTTTTATGTGGTGCTGAGGATCGAACCCAGCGCCTTATAAGTGCAAGGCGAGCGCTCTACCGCTGAGCCACAACCGCAGCCCCCCAAGATCTTTAAATTTTTAATGTGTCTAAGTTGTTTTGTTTTGTTTTGTTTTACTGGAGTTTAACCCAGAGCTTTGCACATGATAGGCAAGTGCTTTACCACTGAGGTATGTCCCCAGCCCTG